AACGTGCGCATACGTGCGCACAGCATAGGCGCCAGAGGTGCCGGAGCAATCTGCCGGGCCTGCCCGTGGTGCCAGGCGGAACGCGAGGCCAGCCGCAGAGTTTTTCTTAGCAGTTCCAGGGAATTCCATGGGAATAGTTGGTAAGTTGGTAGTTGCAGCCCTTATTTTCGTCGCCATACAGCCCATGTCTTAAATCTTGTGCTTACACATAACACTTGGGGATGCCCACAGAATACCAGTGGCTTCCATTCCAAGCTGGTTGACCCCTGTAGCTACCGTGCGCCTTTGCTTTTAGAGGCCGAGCAAGAGCGCAAGGGCCTTGTATGAAGTGATCCAAAGGATCATGGAGAGCCAGCACGGGCCACTTACTGAAGAACAGCTGCAGCAGGAGCCCGCTTCAAGCTCCAAACGAAAGGCGCCAGAGCCTTCTGCGCCTGCGCCGCCGAGATTCGGCTTCAAGGCCTTGATTGAAGACCAGAGTCAGTTGGAGTCTGGCTTGGTTACCAGGACTGCAGGGTGTTGGTGAGGATTACCAATAATAGAAGGCCTAGTCGAATGGTAGCAGTATGTAACAACTTCTTGTAATTCCATTTTGGCGGAGTCGCCGTAGGCCTTAGGCAGTGATCTTGATGTCCCTTTTAAAGCTCCACAAATATTTAAAACATCAACTCTAACCCTCAAGTAGTATCATACTTCATGCCTGCTTTTGGTCTGGCGGAGTCGCCGTAGGCCTTGGGCAGTGCTCTTAATCTCCTTCATGGAGCGCGCGAAGTGGCGTGACGGCTTGGAACTGTTCCCACCTGTCGTGCCGATGTTGCAGGAGCACTGGCCCAGTTGCTTGCTACGAGCAATGCGCTCTCAGAGTGTGGCAGGGCAGCGTGCATCAGCAGCCGCAAGATTCGCAGCCCGGGCCCTCACATGGGGCGGTGTCAGAATGATGCAGCCCCAAAGCGACATGGGTTGCCAAAGCAGCCCCTATTTCTGATTCGAAGTCAGGCTTTGCGTGTTGCCGCTGGCGGTGATTTGTTTTGACTTTGCACAGATCCAGCAAGAGAGCGATGACGAGGTGAAAAGAGCTTGCCCGGAGGTGACGCCCCTTTTGGAAGACTATGATAGAATAAAAACGGGAGGGTGTGGAACACATTGCATGGCAACCACAGGGCGGGCGCCCAACAAGTCGCCGTCTGCACTTGGCCCCCGAGGTTTCACCTGGTTGATGCGTTCGCCCTCCCGCCAGCCCTCGGACCGCCATGCGGTCTGTCGGGGCGGTCGGAGGCCTGGTGGGAGAGGCTGGATGCCCTGGAGAGGGGGAGGGGTGAGTCCCCGGGGAGGGTTCCGGGGAGGGCCCCGGGGGGCTCACCATGGAGGAGCTGATGTGGCAAGCTTCGAGGCGGCTTGGTGCATGAAACGGCGCCCCAAAGCTCAAGATGGGATGCTGTGACATGTCAGGAAGGGGAATCACGGCTGTGCCTCAAATGTTACATAGCTGGCCCAAGCAGTTTCCAATTTCCTCTCATTTGTGTGCTTCCCTTTGGTCCCCGCCAAGCCCAAACTGGTTTTTCAGTTTCTCTCTGTCTTGCTCAGACACAACCCCAAATATAAGGTGCCCCCCCCCCATTCCCCTTTCCAATTTACTGGCAGTTAAACGCACGCAGAAGCTGGGGAGGAGACAGGGCGACTGAAGAGTTTGAGGGTGGCTGCTGCTGCTGCTGCTACTACTACTCCTACTACCGCTACCATTACTTGCCAATGGCCGGGTCCGACTCTTTCTAAATTTGTTTTGATTGCGCACTTCGAGCCCCTTTGGATGCCGGCTGTGGCTCATGCCCTGTGGGACCAGCTCCATTCTGTATTTGCGACGGTGCGCTTGCAGGACAAAGCCAGCTCCCTTTCAGCAGGGTTGTTCAGCAATTTCAGCGACATTCTCGTGACCCCAAGCTTTTCCCATCCATGCTGGCGGGTTTTCCGGCCCTTTCCCAAAACAGCTTGCTCAACAATTCAAGCTTGCTCAACAATTTTAAGGCTTTTGGCTGTCTATGACCGTTGCTTTAGCTGCCTTTTTTGAAAGGAGAGACCATTAGATTGAACAAGAAAATGTCTTGAGGCCCCTTGCCGCCAGTGGATAAATGGAGCACGCGCGCCCGCCCCTTCTTAGCAGTTGGGAGGGGTGACTAAGTGGCGCTTGCGCGCTGCTTCAGCCCTTTAAGTTTCCCGCACTTTGTGTCATGTAAGTTCCGGTGTCAGCTCAGGTTGACTAACATTCAGCTGCACGTTCTTTAAACAAGTGAGCTAGCCATCATTTCCATCGGTTTCCTTATCGCGCACTTGGCCACTTTTGACACACCCTCGCCTGCGCGTGCTTGCGTCAGAGAATCTGATCTACTTTCTGGCTTGGGATTGCTCTAGGCTGTCACGCCCGTGCGGTTTGATGTGGTTTGTGGTGTTTGCTGCGCCAGTCTGAGCCTGAGGGGAAGCTTCTTTCAATAGTTTGCAGATTTTCTTGTTGTGTGGCACTCGCGCAAACTTGCTTGGTGGACCATCATCTGCGTCTAACTTGTTGGTTCGGGCGCTGCTTCGAAGATTGCGCAGGTTACACAGCCACCTAGCGCTTGTTAAGCTAATCTATGAAGCTCTTCTTGCGCATTGGTCAGGGCGCCAAGTGACGGCCCCATGTAGGAAAACCAGCCTTTGCTCCTGTTTTTGCCCTTATTTACAACTGCTCGGTTCTACTTGCAGTTTGCAGCAACGCCAGGAATGGAGTCGCTGGCGCGTGTCCGCTCTTTTTCACCAGATAGCTGAAAGCTATAGGGGTTCTAACTTCTAATAAAGAGGCGGAAGTGATTTGCGAGATTGATGAGCTGGTGCTAAGAGGTGTGCAGTTTGGGGTGCTGGTTTTTGCGGATCGGGGCTGATGGCAGTGCGGGCGCATCTTTTCAAGATTGACGGTAGGGTGCTAGGGGGCATGCAGTTTGGGGGTGCTGGTGCAGGTCCTGTTTTGGGGGTGACGGTGTTTTTGCATCTTGAAGGTAGGGTGCACGGGGGCATGCAGTTTGGGGTGCTGGTGCTGATGCTGTTTGGGGAGCTGTTTGAGGTGTTGGTGACGGTGCGGGCGCAATGTGCGATATTGACGCCCGGGTGTTATCGGCCATGCAGGTGACGGTGCAGGCACATTTTTGCATCTTCACGGTAGGGTGCAAGGGGGCATGCAGCTTGGGGTGCTGGTGCAGGTGGCGTTTTGGGATGCTGTTTGGGGTGCGGCTGGGTGTTTGGGGGGGTGCTGTTTGGGGTGCTCTTAGGGTGACGGTGCAGGCGCATTTTTGCGAGATTGACGGCAGGGTGCAGGGGGCATGCAGTTTGGGCTGCTGCTGGAGGTGCTGTTTTGGGATGCTGTTTGGGGTGCTGTTGGAGGTGCTAGTGATGGCGCGGATGCTCGATTGGCGGCCGGGTGCTGTTTGGGACGCTCTTCGGGGGGTGCGGTTGGAGGTGGTGTGCAATCATTGCTATCTGGGGTCTATGCTGGTGTAATTGTTTGGTTGAGCTTGGAGTGATTTGCAAGGCTGATAGATTTAGTGGCGTCTTGCATTGCATTGCTGGTTTGTAGCGTGAACTGCATCGTGTCACAGGGCCGATGTGCGGGGTGGGCGTTAAGCGCCTACGGGGCGCGCAACGTGGGAGCGCAGCGGGTTTTAGAATAGTTTGACTTGCTATTTACCTGCGTTGGTGGGAGAGTCCTTCACGCATTTCAGCGCGCAGGCGCCTGAAGAATTACTTAGCGTTTCGAGGTCAAAAGGGTACTGACTGCGTGTTTGGATGTTTGAAAGGGCCACTCGGGAACACATACTCTGGGAGCAGGAGGGCGGAAGGAGACAAGAAAGATCAACCAAAAGGCTCATAAAGGCTCCCACAATTGACTCCGTCAGACTGATGCGAGGTTTGGCATGTTGACTAGGTTCAGCGCATTCCTTCTGATGATAACCAAACCTGCTTGCGTCTTGAAAAGTGTCTCTTGCCCTACTGTGTCGCGATGCCGCAAAAAGTAACTTTGTGTTGCTTCTACTTGAGGACACTTTTTGGATTCGTGGTTTGATACTTTGTTTGGGGTTTGTTCTAGGGGGTCTTCCTGCGCCAGTGGAAAGGGTGGGGGGGGGGTGGCACGTCAAAAATGATTCCTGCATTTTGGAGGTTCCCCCCCTTTTTGGAGGTTACCAATATTGCAAGGTTTTTGGGAATTGTTCACGCCCAAAGGTTTGTAGGGCTCATGATTTCTACCTTTGAGGGCTGATTTAGGGCACTGCAGTATGCTGGGCGCATTTGCTTGTGCTTCGGGGGTGCAAAGTTGGGGACAGCTCCTTTTTTAGGAATCCCACGCGCTATGGGAATCCCCTTCAAAGTGATACAGTGGTCATAGGGACGCGAATCAACTGAACCGAGCCAGCCGTTGTGAATTAATCCCTGGGACCCTGGGGTCACCCGTGGAAATCCCGGTAAGGCAAGCAAGATATGGAATTTGGAAGCTCGAAAAATTGAGAGATTCCCCCACCAGAAAGCTCTGAGAAGACAACCTGTTGGTGCAGGGCCGAGACCGTCCTGGCTGAAATTGGTAGAGTCGTCAAGCCATCAAAGGGCAACATACCCCATGTGCCTAGTCTGGTGTTCTTCAAGAGCCTTTTCTAACTGTTTTCATTGAGCGGCGCCTTGCCGGCACGGCCCACCCTTTCCGAGTTTGCAGATGCCTGCCTAGAGGTGAGCGGCGTTGTTTTCAGGGTTGGGGCTTTGCGAGAGAAAGCCTAAGCGAATCGACCTTCTGAAGCCATGGTAAAATTTACAGGCTTTGCTGGGTTTGCCTACTTGCAATATTAGTATTTACAACCGATTTGTTATTGCAAGTAACCAACCACAAACCATGGGCGTGCTTGTTTTTCCCCACTTGCGATCTCGAAATCGGCACCGGGCCGATTTCGCTTTTCTCTCCCACAATTCGCGTCGACCAGAGCCCTCAGGACTCGCTGAACCACGTGGTGCGAAGCCTGGACCTGGACACAGGGCTGATGGAGCGGCTGGCATGGGGTGGCTGGGGTTCATTGGGCGTCAGTTCAGCTCGGGCTGAACCTGAAAATGGCCAGGACCTGTGGTTTTGTGATGGTGTAATTTTATGAGACCCATAGGAAACCCAAGAAGGAAGGATGATCTGCTGGTTCTGGTTTACCCCGAACTGTTGCGCGCTAAGAGCACGTGATGTTTTGCTTCCCCCGAGAAACAAAGGGCTTTGATGACTGTTGGTGCTTGCATTCCATCCTCTTGTGGGATCAGGTGGCCGGAAGGTACCGTTGGGTTTGGAGGCGTTTGAGAGATCGCCAAGTCAGAGGTGTCCTTTTGATCGGTTAGTTTGAGTCGGACATAGATGGGTTCCACTGGTTTAGGTGGGCTTTATGCCATCCATTAACCAGGCAAACCCATCTTTTTCACCGAAAGGACACCTGCGCTCACCAAACCACAAGGGTACACGCTTGGGTAAATTCTCTCTGTTGCTTCCTTTCCCAGATTCGCCGGTGCAACGAACGTTCTACCCAGAAAGTTGCCGATGGGATCTTTGGAGCCAGTTGGAGGGTTCTTGGGCCTATGGCCTGCGAGAAAATCCCTAGCCCCCGGCCCTCAATGGGTAGCAATGTCTCAGAATCGAAGAAGGATGCGGGCATGTCTTATGTCATCTCACTGTTAGCTTACCTTTGGTGCATGTTGCTTGGATGTTAGGACTTCAGCTTCTTGCCAACGAACTTGGGTTTTCCGTATTAAACCACTAAAAAGAAAACACTTTTCGCAGGGCTTCGCAGGTTTCGCAACCGAGAATTGCTATCCTTTTTTTGGGGCTGGCTGACGGCTGACCGGACCCTCTTGTGAGGGCGAAGCTTGGAACCTGCAGGTTGGGACGGACGGCCTACGGGTGGGACCCATGCCAATGGTTTCGAAGAAACGGGTTCGCAACAGCTTGCAATAGACCATCCGTATGTTCTTTGCGCCGTAGGACTCATTTGTAGCCTGGGTGTGGATCAAATGTGAGCCAGGGGAAAGCAGGTGATAGTCTAGTCCACGTTTCCACTTGCCAGGGTTCGATTTTGAGCCCATATGTTTTGATCCACACCCAAAATGGGTCACCCAAAACCTGTTTTGGACCACACTTTGCCAGCGCCAGGAGACCATTGCCGGCACAGGGGAGCCTGGCTTCAGCGAGACCAGCGCAGTTCTCTCCCAGCTAAGCCGCTTCGCCCGACAGGGATGCTTGGGTGCCTTTTCATTGCCTGACTTCACTCCTCCACACGGGTTTGTCTTTCTTCAGGGGACCCCCAAAATGGATTTCGTTGTTCCTTTTGGTTTCCCTTTGACGCCACAAAAAAAGAGCGCTACCTTCAAAAAGGACACACCCACAGATTGACATGGACCCAAGCAGCATGTGTAGGCTAACTGTTCTTTTAGGACCTCTTTTTTTGGGCTCCATGCAACATATGCAGAGGAGCAAGCCTTTTGCTTTTTTTGCCCTGCCACACGTTACTTGTTCGGGGGGCTCAAGTCTGGCAAAGTGTGTCCCCAAAAAGAGCATCCAAGGAGGGCTCCCGGTTTTCGGAACAGAAGGGCGCGTGATGGGGCCTGCGTTTGTGAAATACCTTAAACACTCAGAACAACACGCATCAGTACACCATTCTCATGTACTCTGGAAAAGGATTTCGGAAAAGCACACAGGGCAAGTTGAAGCGATGGACCTTGCGCAGGATTTGTTGTTTTCAAGCTGCGAGCCATGCCGAGCCGCGACTCTCTCTCTCTCTCTCTGTCAATTTCGCCCGGAATGCTCGCGGGCGATTTCTGTTCTTACTTCCTGCGTCAAAGGCTGGTTGCACGGGCCCTTTGGTGGTTTCGGCCCTTTGGTGGATGGTTGTTGTTGGGACACATTTTTCATTTTTGCGTATTGTGGTTTAGTGGTTGAATTCCCGACTTAACTGCCAAAGTTTAGATTTGTTGCTCCCCTTCCAACGTCAACCTGGTTTCCTACGCCTAAGCCATAGTTCGTGGTCTGCTTCCGCCCTTTGACGTGTCACTTTGAAAGGGGCTGAAAATGGTTTTGGCGCGCTTTGATTTCTTGGTCCCGCATGGTTGGAAGAGGAGCCAACGACATTGTTTCAGGTTGTCATTTTCTTTGACCCAAAAGAACGAACCCGTCTCCCAAAACGCAGACTTGCTGGTTCTCCGGACGGAGTCAGAAGTTTTCGGAATGAACTTCGAGATCCCCTTAAAGAAACCCACCAGTTGGATGGTTCACTCACCGGAGTTCAAGGACTTGACTCGCTTTTTGGGTTTAGACCATTTTAGTTCCTGGTTAATGTCGACCCAGGATTAATGAACCGACCCAGGATTATTAAACCCGCCCCATTAGTTCCCTCCAAAAGTGGTCCGAATCCCCACTAAAAGGAATTGGACACCCGCCTCTTCATCCACCAGGGGTTCTACTTAGATCCGGGGGTCACAACTTGCTTTGGATCCACTGAACCGGAAGGTGAGTTGTTTCCGTTTGCCCGACTCGCCAGCGGCCGACGCGCCAGCTGAGATATGCCCATGGGCCTGGCGCTGGACGAGGCCCACCAGCTGCTGTACCTGGCGGATGCTCGCAACCACCGGGTCCGCGCCGTGGCCTGGCCTCGTTGGATCGGTCGATTTCGGGCGTCCCCAAAACCGAAGCGGCGCGAAGGCGTGGGGATGGATGGATTGAGCGACGGCCGTGAGTTTTTGTCGGTATCTCGGTTGCAGGGATCAAGGGGTGTGTCCCAATTCTGTGGTACAAGGGAATCTCCCCCCCAAAAATATGGGGCGGCTAGTTTTTTGGAAGCCCTCTGTGTTGTATCACAGAAGTGGTCATTTCCCACTGCCCTGCAGGAATTAGCAGCCAAAGGGCAAAGCAAAGGGCGACCACCCGTAAACCTGGTGAGGTCGTCTAGTTGGAATGCGAACCAAACCGGTTAGCCGCGTGGAAATGCACACCGCCCGCGGTTCATAATGTTGACCCCAGATTGAGAAACCGGGCGGATTAGTAGAGCGGCTTGTTTCCTCTGAAAGGGATTGATTACCTCTACGTAGACTAGAATGGACAATGCTCCTGGTACTCATGCGGGAGCATATTCATCCCGGGTCACCATTGGATGATCGCACTGGTATCGGTTTGGGGCTTGTCATGTGCTAGCGCCATCGACTTTGCATAAGGACACCTGAGGTGAAGGGCCTTGTGCATGACCAACTCGGAGTAGACGCATCATAAGTCCGTGATGGACAACCTGTATGGGTTGCTCAGCTTCTCTTGCCAAAGGGCTGACGGCAGTCCGTTTTTTCTCACATCTGGGGATCTTTGGAACAGAGCCTCAATTGCGTCCTCTCAGCCATTCACCATGGAAAACTCCATGACCCGGCACCAAGACATTGGTCCGCCCCTGAACAAAAGCCAAAAAAAAACGAGAGATTGGATAGTTTCTCCAGCTACAAGTCGCGCAGTTCGAGCTTTTGCACGCGTCAGTCAGTTGAACCAAGTTGGCATACACTCGCCAGTTTTGCCATGAATGCATCTGAATGCCCCATCAAAGACTCATTTTGGAGGGTCCCCGTGAGACGAGCCCAAATCCCGATGATCTGGAAACACTCGCTAGGCAACGACGAAGTCAGTCTCTGTGCTTTCTTGAGTCAAGACTTGTCCTCTTGCCTCTTTGGGCGTCCTTGGGCCACGTGAATCCCGAGAACCAAACTACAAATCGCATGGCGCCGACGTGTTTCAGGTGGCGCTGAGCCCTGGGGAATACTACCAGGCGGAGGAGAACCGAACCAGCAGCGGAGCCACAGCCGATTCGGTGAGGCCGGCCAGAGGTAAGTTAGAGAGGCGCGCTTTTGGTTTGGTTTGAAGGGAAGCCAAAAAAAAGCCGGCCACTCCCAATTTCAAGACAATCGCATATATGCTTGATTTGTGGCTTGGAATATCAATTTCGGGCCAATTTGAAGAGGAGTGTCCACTTGGGCTGATATTTAAAGGACTCGATATGTTTCTTCCCAAGGAGGAGACGATGTGGGGCGCACAGTTTTTATGCCTGCCAATTGTGGGGGGTGCGCCCTCCAGTTTGGTTTCCCCTTGAGCCAAAGAAACCATATCCCAAAACGTGCAATGCCCTGAGCCCATCTTTCCGCTTCGCGCCCCACTTTTGGAGTTCCTCCCTGGCATGTCAAACATAATAATAGTAATGTTATATATATATATGTATTTACACACACACACACACACACACACACACACACACACACACACACACACACACACACACACACACACACACACACACACACACACACACACACACACACACACACACACACACACACACACACACACACACACACACACGAGGCCTGGGGCCAGCGGATTCGGCGCTGCTGTTGAGATTGAAACCTCTTCATGTCCTGAGCCTCTGAGCTGTTGGGCAAGCTGGACAGGGGTGTGGGGAGCAGGGATGCCAGGGTTGCAGGGCTGCTTTTTGTGGTGCCCTTCGAGTACCACCCCAGGCCACCCCTGAATAGTTGAAAGCCGGGATGCAGACACGTCAGGATTTCCTTCAGGTTGGCTGCAGAGTAAAATTTCACTTGCTGGTGTTAGGAGACGTTTCATCTTCCAGACGAGCATATCCCGTCTCCGAATTTCCCATCACTTGTGAAAGTTGTGTTAGTTTCGGAGGTTTCTCTCTACCCTCTCCCCACAAGTTGCACAGGGCTCCACTTCCATGCCTGAACAGCTCTGAAATGGTTGAACTTGCAGTTGTTTGTTCGCCTCTTGCAAGCTCAGCATTCCCCAAAAGTCGAACCAGTTTTTGTTTCTGGCCCAGGCTGTGACAGGACAGGACACCTTGCAAGCACTGGGCAGCAGGCCTACAGTTCTTCATTGGCACCAGGGACTGGTGGGTTCCCCGCCAGTCCTGGCCTCAAACAGGGGTCCCAGCTCTTTCTCCACGCAGAGAGCCCAAAAGGAAACCAAGCATGTTGAGACTGGCCTTTGTTTTTTTCATCTTTTTCCCCATTGTTTTTCCCTTTTTGTTTGTTTCCCCAAAACTGGTCCCGCCCCGCAACGCGGGTCTCATCGCTTGCGTTTTCGCCAGGCTCCACGGGCCGCTGCAGCGCCTGGTCTGCGAGCCCGGCAGCGAGCTCCTGCTGGGCAGCAAGCACTGCGCAGGCGCGGCGGCCGGGAGGAGCCTGGGGGACGGAGAGACGAGGTCGGGTTCAGGTTCTGGGACCCCCAGCAATTGCTGCCCTTTCTCACCCGGCTTTTTTGGTTGGGAGATTCGGTTCTTCTAGAATAGGCAGAAAAACAAAATCGGGTGCCCCTATTCTAACCTCTCTACTGGAGGATCCAGGGTTGGTTTAAAGTTTAAGGCGTCATGCCCTAAAGCATGTTTGGACAGTCTTGGTGGGTTTAGACAACCAGGCCACGTTTTAGGCGAAGCCAAGAAGGAGGGTTGTGAGAAAAGTGGGTTGAACTCCAGAGTTAAAGCTGAATGAAGATGTTTAGACAATATTGGCGTAGATTTGAACAGCTGGCGATGGCTGGGTGACGACTCCGAAACATACCCCAGATGGTGTTTTGTTTTTCTTAATTTCTTGCTGGTGCTCAGTAGGGAATGAGGGAGTGAACCTGGGGATTCCCTTAAAGGAAACCAGGGATGGTTTATGGGGGTCATTTCATTTCTCATTCCCTGCTGAGAACCAGCAAGAAAAAGAGATGGACAGAAAAACAAAAGACCAAACACCTCTCGCGCAGCGACTAGCAACAAGCAAGGGCTTGCTAGTTGCGCTTCAAGGCCAAAGTGCCGAGTTCGACGTCCGTCACTAGTTAAATTGCTTGAATCCCTCATTCCGGATAAGTGCATAGAGCGGGACCTAGGTATTTCGCGCATTTTTGCCTATGAGTGGAGGAATCGCTTGATTTGATTTGAATATATTGCTTGGGCTTTGAATAAAACCTTCAAACATCTATGGAGGCGGATAAGAAGTAGCTGGTAATCGATGTTGTTTTGAGTGGACTTGAGACGGGCAGACAGAACCCCAGTTTCTTGTCTTGTGCAGCCGGAAAACAGGGTGTGGGACCGGTTTGTGTTTTCTTTGGTGTTCCTGTTTTAGTTCCCTTTGGCTTGCAACACCATTGTACGTTGCTCAAGATGACCAAGTCCACCCATCAGAATCAGACCTTGTTCAGGGCTTAAGCTCACATATATGATATGACGCCTTGTGTAAGAAATACATACTTTTTTGGGGACAAAAACAGCAAGCCAACTCGTAGCCAACATGACACCAACCATCGAGAACGAGTCCTCCTTACTTTTGACCCAGTCCTGCTTTCCATAAGCATCCTAAGGCAGTACACCACTCCTGTCCCCGGGTGCACAAGGTCGCTGCAGGTCTCCGCTTGGCATGCTGATGCATATGGGCTATGGCAAATACATGGCGAATACATAGCATGAAGGTTGGGTTCCCTAGATATTGCTGAAATCCCGGTGGTACAATGCATGAGTTCCATTGCACCTGTACTTCTCACGTTTTGGGCATCCACAAAAACACGAATTGCAAGCAGACACCTTTTACATGGAAATATTGTCGTGTGCAAACCTGCCGCGGGAATCGTGTACCAAGCATTTTGAGAAGGGTGCTCTATTTTTCGATGTACATGATTTCCTTTTGCATGCTTTTTAGCGTCGCGCGTAGTCGCTCTGCATCCGAGAGAGAGAGAGCGAGAGAGAGAGAGACAAAGAGAGGTCGGGGGCAAACTTGCCTAGGTAGCACCGGCAACGGCTACGCCGAGTTCCGGTCCTCTTATGAGGATCAAACACGCCTGGGGTTGGTTTGAGGGGGAACCAAGGGAAAGCCGAAAGCCAGTTTTTGTGTCTTCTTTTTATTTGGTGGGGTGCTTGTGGTTTTTTGTTTGGGAGTGCGGGTTTTGTTGCAAAATGGGTTGGCACAATCATACCTTGGTGCCCCCACAGCAAAAGCCTAGTTGTTCAGTTCCTTTCTTGTCCGCCAGGTTTCTCACCCAAAATTGTCAACCCAAAACTGGTGTCCCCTTTCTAGCGGGTTGGGCAGCATGTTAGATCCAATCGTGGGCTGATTAATGAATTGGGTTTCCGACTGCAGGTCGAAGGCTTGACAAATCCGGATTGTCCATTCCGAAAGATCAATTTGTTGCTAGGGGCTTTCGACCCAGGTGTATCCTTCAAGGGCTTGTCTTGATTGGGGCAAGTACTGCCGTGGATTCTCAAAAGTAAACCAGAGGAGAGCCCTTTAATCCTGTTTCTCTCACTTTAATTCCAAGTGAAAATTGGTTCAAAGGCCCAAAAGCGCAGAACTCTTCGGCGTGCTTTGGTTTCCCTTTACACATCTTGCATCATTTTGGTCTCTTTGATTCGATCCCAAGCGGTGAGGATCGCATGGACTTCCGGGTGGAGGCTACTCAAGGCGCAGGCGCCGGGGGAAAGACCGGTTCCTTTGCTTGGGGTTGGGGGATGGTCATCCTGGTAAGGAACCTTAACCGGGTTTGGACATAGGAGGATTGACTGCCCTTATGGGCTCGGGTTCTTTGAGGGCACTCTTAGAAAGGGTGGTTTGGTAATTGAGAGGGAAACCAAAAAGAAGCCGCAAGTTTTAATTTGGCCACATGTTGAAGCAACCAACCTTGGTACCTAGTTGAGAAGGGGCACTAACGGGGAACCAACAGGAAACCCGAATCCGAAGCCATTTTGTGGGGTCCACATCCCAAAGTCGCCACATTCTGCTGGGGCTCAGCCTGGCCGCCCCCAGACGGTTCACAGTAACATGAGGAGTTGTTGCAGGGCTCGAGTTCAAGAACGGAAGCCGGAAACCATGGAAGAACCCCTGTGTTTTGTTTATGTGTTTTTGTCTTCGAATACCTTTCAGAAAGTCACGTTGAGGACCTTGCGCAATTCATACAGCCCAATCAGCAGGTGTCAACCCTTTTCATGCTTTCCTGGTACTCGAAGAATCGAAAACCAGGTTTTCGGTTGAAGAACCTGGTTTTGCTTCCTGAATCCCGTACAACACCCGTACAGAACCCGTATAAAAGCAGTGCAAAACCCGTAGTTTTCGTATGTTTTTTTAAACCCGGGTTTTTCTGAAAACCAGGTTATGTTTTGGAACCCGCTTTTTTGTAGGATTTTGGAGTAGCAGGTTAGTCCATGCCAAAATGAGCAGGCTGGTAAAGAGACGGAGAAGGAGAGCGAACGAATGTGGGGCCAGGGGAAGCGAGGACCACGTTTTCCCCAATCCCCACGCCATTTTTTCCAACTTTACCTCTTGGTTTTGGGGTCAAGGAGCAGATTGGAAGTCGACAAGCAGGGTTTTTCACGCCTAACTCCCTGGTTTCCACCAAAGCGCCTGCCTGCAATTCTCAAGGCCTAGGGGAAGGGGGGGTTGAATCCGACTTGAGGCACCTACCAACTCCGGCTGCGCTATGCAGATCGCTACAGCGAAGTACGGTCAGCGGGCCACCGCCAGCTGCGTCTACTGGTGAACGGTGCACCTGGGCAGACATGAGGTCCTTGGTGTTGGATGATTTTTGGAGGGGGTGACGGGTGAGTAAAGGGAATCCGAACGCACCCCCATCCCTGTTTTGAGGGTTCCCCTATTTGGAGACAACCCCATATATGAGAGATATGGAGTTTCCCGATGTTCTATGATACCAAGGGAATCCTTTTCAAAAGTGAGCAAAGCAGCAGACCAAATCTCCCGAGATGCTTTTCACACGTTGGGCGATGGTTTGTTTTTTGAACACCGCCTCTCAATGCGGCAGTTTTGGGGGTGGCCCCTGCTCAAACCTCATGCGGTTGTCTGGTTTTGTCGGGTGTTTTACAAACCTCAAATGCAAAGTGGCGGTGGAGTAGGGAACTCTAGCAGATAGGCGAGGTGCAACTTGTGAGGCTTGGCTTAGCAGCCCGTGTTGTCACGTGTTGTGCCCCCAAAACGATGTTTAGGAAGACTTCATGCTCAATTTTTGGCGTCACCTTCTTCAGCTCCATCGGATTTCCATTCATCGGCACCAACTACACTTACACTTCACCAACCTAAACAAAGGAATCCCTGCTGTGGATGGGCAAAATCCTGCGCCACCGTTCAGAACCCTGGAATGCATGGCATGATTTCAATGATTCCCGTGTACCAACAAACAACGGGTTTAAGCCCTGGTTTTTGAACGGTGCGGTTGGTGGATTTCGATTTCAACCATGCACAGTACATGGTTGTTGTTGGGACACATGTTACATTTTTGCTTATTGTGGTTTAGGAGTTGAAGTCCCCAGCCATCCGGTTCCTTAGCTTTTTAACTCTTAAGTCTTTAGTGGGGTTTTCCGTTTTTATCCCACTAAAAGTTAGTCACTTTCCGCGGGGGATCTGAGGACAGCCCTTCCAACGTCCACCAAGCACTTCCCCCTCCCGCTTAGGCCGTGGTCACCAGCCAGCTCGGCTTCAAGCCTTCGGGCCGGCTCAGCTCCGGCAGCCGCCCGGAACGTCGTCGTTGCGGAGATTGTTAACCCCGGATTAATCAACCCCTGGTTGATTTATAGGGGGGTGTCCCCTTTTAGCGGGGATTCAGACCACTTTTGGAGGGAACACGGGCCATTGTGGCAAAGAAGAAGTTCCAGGACCTTTTTTGGGCCATCCACTCAGGTGAGCATGGTGTGTCGCGTTGTAGGAATCGGACTCTCGTGAAAGGCTTGCATCGGTGTTTCCTTTGGTTTCCCTTTCAAAGGGGGTATTGTGAACAACAGACACACCCATGCTGGATTTGGACTCCAACAAAAATGGGCGGATTCCTTTCGGGAACCCACAAAAAGTTGTGCTCCAATTCTGATTCCAGCACGTGTTTTGAAATGGCCCCGTACCTGCAGCAGGTGCTTGTTTTTTCTTCCTTTGTTTTTTCGGGGCGGGGGGGGGGGGGCGGGGGCACTACTTTCTTCGGTTCTTCTTTTTTCGGGGTTGGTGAGTACCCAGCCTCCCAAAGTCTGATGGCACCACGCACATTGCCGCCACTGTTTTTCCTCCGTACATGGGAATCCCAATTTAGTATCACGGCAAAGGCTATTTCCACAGTCATGCGCATGACGATGTGTTGTGCCCAGCTGTACCAGTACTAGAATCCACTTTTTATTTGAGTTTCGCCCACTAAAAATGGTGGTGAGGAAAGTCGAGAGCCTCTTCGACTTGGCCAGCTTCAACCTCAAACTGCCCAAAATGGTCCTGGCGCGCCATTCCAAGACCAATGGCGAGTAATTCCAACCTATTCTTACAGGTACCCCGTACTGCCCGTGAGAAAACCAACCGTTCTTTTCCACCTTTCGGGTCAGCGGTGTGTGTGTGTGTGTGTGTGGCGAACCGCCTCTCAGGCCGCGATGAGTACTCCTGGAGCGTGGCGGACGTGTCGCTGACAACTGGAACCAACCTCATTCAGCTCCAGGTTCGAAGTTCAAAAGCCTCAGACCTTGGGTGGGCGTTTAAGGGGGGGATGGCACTTGACAGTCAGCTAACCAAAGCGAGTACCATGTGTTCCCGTGGAGGAAAGTTTGGAGGCTTGGGCTTCACCGGAGTGAACCATGTTTGGAGCGGTTTGGAGCAGGCGACTTACAAGGGCCTACATGGCTGTGGCTCAAAATTAAACAGGAGGGTTTACGCGGGTTTTGGTCCATGTTTCCACTTACCAGAGTTCCATTTTGGTACCGGTTTTTTGAGCCACACCCACATGATTGAAATGGGGTACGTACTTCAAACACAGATTATGTCATGATAGCGAATGAGGTGTGGCATTGTTTCGCCCTTTGCGCATTGCATTTGTGGGGACCACAAGCACGTTAATCATCCGATGCCCGTCTTGTGAGTTGGGGAGGCGAGGCTGGGGCTAAAGTGCTAAAGCAATCGCTTCACCTGGCAGCTCTGCAAAGCCCTTTTGCGCACGCGATGTTACCTGTGCGGCACGATTCTGCCCATGCATATCGAATCTTAGTGTGGCCCTGGCATCCTGATCCCAGAGATCCGAACACAAACAGGTATTGAGCAGGTCCACCCATCTTGGTCGTGTTGGTACTTGCTAAGAACTCGTGTATGACATAGTGTTTGACACATGCAGTGTTGTGCCTGTCGTGGTTTGGTGCTGATTTGCTTGAATGCATCACTGTCTACAACCGAAGAATCAACATTGGTCTGCCGCGCGCGGAGCATTCACGAATTTCATCCGGCACTGATCCCGTGCAGCAATCACTGCCAATGGATGGCTCAAGTCAGCCACGATCAATGTAGAATGCTTGTTGACTGTTCGATGGAGTTTGAAGGAAGCTAATTGTTCGTGGCATGCAGTTTTACCAAAATGCTTGGGAGAAAAACAACAAACATGTAAATTAGATGCCCACTGAAGGGTCAAATTCCCAATCCCGACCATCTTTTTCGGGCAGTCGGAGCCAGTGGATGGCGTGGCGCAGGTGACGGGCCACTGGGGCCCCAAGATAGACCTTCTGCAGCTTGGACGCAAGAGCCGGAAGATGATGGTTGTATAGTGCTTGAACACAAGTTTTGGGGACCCAAAACGTGATTTTCTTGTTGGCGTCCCTCTAAACCAGGGTGAAAAGGGTACCCTCCGTGTTTGAACACTTTTTCGCCTCGGCAAGGTACGTGTTGCCGCCCCTGCCAGCCATCACCACTGTGGCGGGCACTGGCACTGGGGCTCTGCCTGCGGTGGAGGATGTAAGCACAGAGCCCTGGCTGCAACCAGCGCCCGTTTTCGTTTTGGCACGACCAAATGCAACTCTCACAGATGGTGCCGCGTGCCCGTTTTTTGTTTTGTTTTTTTCTCCGGGGAATCCCAGGTTCTTTTGGAAAGGTGCCCCTTCAACATGCACCAAACTCAACCCCATAAATAGGGTTCTGCCTTTGTTCTGAAGGGTAAAAGAGCCAAGTTCAATCAAAAACGGTTTTCCCCCTTTGATTTGGATGGGTTTTATTCAGATGGAAGATGAAGCTCCTTCAACATCAACCAATTCCATTCCAAACAGATGCTCCCCTTTTGTTTGGATGATGGAAAACTCTGCCCAACCAGAAGGTGTGCTGTTTGCAGCCCCGCAAAGGAATCGCAAGGGCACGAGTCAATCCTTTTCGGGGGTTCCGTGCCCTACTCGGGTTACATCCCGTTGCGCTCAGTGGTTCGTAACTCCCATTGAACCCCAAGTCAACCAACATGTAAACCATGAACAGTAGATGACTGGCACTCCCCAATTGGGGCTTGATTGGGGCTTCATACATTTATGGGCATGGGTCAATAAAAAGAAAACAAAACAGAAAAACGCAGGAGTTGGTCCTTCCATGCAACCCATTTTGGGGACCTCGCCAGGACCAGACAGCCACCGCCTCGAACCTGCGCACGCCCACAGGCGATCCCGCTTGGGTTGTTGGGCTCGGGGATGACCAAAATGCGTCGCTTGTCCTTGGCATGTCGTTTTCCTTTGCTTTTTGGTGTTTGGCACATTTGTGTTGAGTTGCACAGTTCCCGACTTTGCATCTGCTTGACGCGGTCATTTTCACTGCTGTCAGCGCGCGATTAGTACCCCCCCCGATCAAAGGTTTCCCCTTTTCCCTCCCAGATTCCCACCAATTGCCCAAACCACCCTACTCAATGTATTTTCGCGTCTCCTCAAAACCCCCCCCTGATTAAAGGCATCTATCCCCCTGCAGCCCCGAAGCCAGAACAACCTGCCAGAAAAGGGGCTTTACTTTTTGCTTAGTATTTGCTTAGCCTGTCCGCAAACCCACCAATACTAAGTCACTGTTGAACCCCTCAAGTTTTCCCCAAAAATGTTCTTCCCAAAAATGTGTGTGTGTGTGGTTTCTTTTTTCAACTAAATGTTGTTTGAAATGACAAGATGTTCAAGCTCGCAAAGGGGACCTCCCTTAGAGGCCAGCCCCCCCTCATTAACAGAAAACCCCTCGCGATCAATCAGGGCTCTTTTGGGCTCAAACCCAAAGAAAACTGCTGTTACGGACGAGGACCGAAGGGGCTCCAGATTAATCAGAGGGGGGTCCTCCAAAAAAAATGCTCAGTTTTTGGGGACTTGTCCACACCTTGTCGACCATGTGCTTGTGCCACGCAAATCTCTCGCCTCTTTTCTAGGCGTACCTCCCCCATTCGTTCCAGGGATCCTTCTTTCTAGAAAACTTCCAGAGATCCGGGAAGACGGCGATCGGCTTTCGAAAAGAGCGATGGTTGAAAAGAATGGACAAGGAAACAACCCTTAGAACGGTGCATCTAATTTTTGTTGGGGCCCCGGTTTTGTCGAGTTTCCAAAGGCGACAAATTGTTGCTCCATACATTGCCCATTTGAAACAACCCCTAGACAACCCCCCACATTCTTTGTTACATTGCCCTTCTACGAGCCATCTTGGTGCAATGCAACTCCAAAGATATTTTCCGAGATGAACAAAAATGCCGCGGCCTTCAAGCCTTCGCGGCGGCAGGTCTGGCGCTGGACGCCTCCGCGCAGCTGCTCTACATCGCGGACACCGAAAACGGCCGGGTGCGGCGGCTGGATTTGGGCGCCGGCACCATCCGGACCGGAAGCGGCCTGTGGGGAAGCGGAAGAGGTGGGTGTGGTTGTCAAAACCAATGGGATCCCATGTTGGGGTAGGTGAATTCACCACCCATTTCAGAATCTATTTTAGTGGGGATTGGGATGTTCACTGGGGGTACGGGCTTTTGACCCATGGCCAGGTGGGGGGCTCTTCCTGTGGCAGAGTGGAAATCATAGCCAGGCCCTCATGACTTCCACATGAGGTGGGGATGGGTATTTGACTTGCGGGGCTAACTTTTGGGCACTCACGAAGTGAGTAGTGGTGGTAATTATGATGAGGGGGCAAATGATCAATAGCAATCTTCTCCGAGCTTGACGTCGTCCACTCAGAATTATCCCTAGTAATCCTGGTGCAGGTTTATTGGAGGTGGTGCGAGGTTTGTCACGACGCCTAAATATTGCAAGTAGGGGAGCAAGGGGAGCCCTTGATTTTACTGCAATTCATCCCTTGCTCTTTTTGGGTGGGTGTCGTCTTTGACAGTGTTCATTTCCACATTCGCCACTGAGCACCAGCAAGTTGTTGGCGGTTTCCCTTAGCCAGGTTCCACCTTGGTTCTAGACCCAGTTTCTGTGAACCAAAAGACAGCGAGGGAGAGGTCGCGGGTTGGGTGAGGACCCCTCAAATGACATATAATTCGGCATGTTTGGGATTCAAATATCTTCAAACAGTACGGACTGAAATCAAATCATGTCTGATGATTTGTTGGATACCAGCCCTGAGGTGGAAGACGGAGGATCTTCATTTGGTTTCAAGCCTGACTTTTTCCTGGCCCTCAAACGGCTGATTCTTAACATGCGGTTCCCCTAGTTTCGCTTTGGTTTCCCATAAAATAGGGTCCACCATTTGAAATTCGAAATGACCATGGGTAACTTCCCCGCTTGGAAGGTTGTCTTTGTCTATGGTTTTGCCCAATGGGCATCCCTTGCAAAGGACCTTTTGACCAGCCTCCAAATCTCGAATTCCCCATTGCCCTCTTTTAAGGGAAGGAAGTGTGGCAAGAAATCTTTGCAGAGATCCGTAGGTGGACACAGGTGGGTTTGTTCTGAAAAGTGGGCGGTTTCCTGTGGGCGTCCCTTTGCAACAATCCAAAACCCTCGAAAAAGACACCCAGGCGTTCGAGTGAGTTGGACACCCCCACTGTGAGGACAATTGCTGGTGGCGCCACTACTGATGAGGCCGCGCAATTTCTTTGCGCCGTTCGTTCCTATTCGAGTTGTGTGTGTGTGGTTTGGTTGAGGGTTTCCACTTTCCGTGGGTTTGAAAGGGAAAGGAGAGGGAGCCCGGCATAGTCCTGAGATGATGCAAGTTTCAAGCAAGGCACCCACCAGCAATGGGGTTCCTCGAATCTTGGTTGACCTTGGGCTCAGAGGCAAGGCCCTCGGCAGGGTCCTACAGCGACTCCCAAGTGGCCAGGGCTTTCTTTGGATTTCCGAAGTCATCCAAGGGCTTTCTGGGTCTCGACTCACCCAAATCAGCCAGGGTTCTCAAAATCCGTTTGGAGGGACTTTCGTTTCCAACATTCTTCGAGGGGTGATTTGCGAGGGTCACTTCAGCAGGTGTTGTCCAAGTTTTTGAGATACCCAAATGACCATGGTGTTTAGCAAATGACGATTTATTTGTATGACTCATATATCTACAGGGGTCCAAAAGTGTCGCAAGAGCCCTCATACATCCAGCTGAGACTTTCAGGCTGTATTTGCACGCAAAGAACACCTGACCCCTTGGGCGGTATTGCCTTAGGGAATCCCCAAAAGGTGTCCATTGCCCACTTACGTTGGGGATGTATGTTTTGGGAGTTGTTACCTAATACCCTTTTCAGGGTTGGTTTGAAGGGATAAACCCACTCTTTGCGGGTGTCCATATTTTTGAGCCAACCGCAAACTGAGGCAATGTGGAGGCTTGAGACTTTGATCTCAACTCAGCAGCTGCTTTTCATGACGACCTCCAACAGATTTGTTCTAGGGATGTCCCATTCGTCCCACCCCTTTTCAACAACCTGCCCTTGTCCTTGGATTTTGTTCGGGATGCCTGGGCTCCTGGGCAGAAGTCGCCCCTGCGGCTATATGAGCTCCTGGTCCCAATGGAAGCGCACAGAACCCTGTTGGGACAACCAGCCAAGCCACCCAACCCAACCCAAACCAACCGACCGACCAACCAACGAACCACTGCTTTCCTTTTGGGGACCCATTTTCCTGTGCCCCATGCCGCATGAGGCAAGTAAAGCCTTCAGACTTGCAACTCGGAAGAGATCATAATGACCATTTGATCGCTTCGTGTGGTTGGAAATGGATGGGCTCCACTGGTTTTTACCTGCCCGGTTTTTCAGGTTCCACTGATTTTTACCTGGGTTGTACGCCATATTTACCAGAAGAACCCCGCGATTTTTCATCCAAAGGCAACCCAAAGTGAGTGGCTTTCAGGTGAGCGACGGCCTGGATGCTGCCAGCAGCAAGCTCTTCCGCCCTAGCGGCCTGGCGCTGGACACCGCCAGGCCAGGTCGATCTGCTCGGATTCGGAGGGACCTGGGTGGACCCGCCCCTTTTTCGGGTAGACGATAGCCTGGCAGTGCACGGCTGTTTGCCCAAATATGGAGCAGGTAAACGAGCCACACCCCTTGGCAAAAGATCTAAATCCGAAGTTTAAACTAGGTCCCGCAGCTAGGTGCCCTTTTACCGTTGCTTTTTGGGGGGAGATTCGTTCCCCTACTAAAATAGACTACAGAAAAAAGTTGGTACCCTTATTCTAACCTCTCTACTGGAGGACCTAGGGTGTTTTTTCCCACTAAGAAGGACACATTTGCAGATTGCGCGTGTGAATGTGCTTGTGATGTGTGCTAGCGTATATTTGTTGTGAATGTGATTGTGTATCTGTGAATGTGTGCTTCTGCAATCGCGTGAGTGAGTGTTCCTGTGTTTGCGCGCTCGTTTGTTTTGCCCGTCCGCGTGTTTTGCGCGCTTGTGTATTTATTGTGTATCACTGGTGTATATATATATATATACACGTACAAAATCCAAGTAGCGTATGACACGCACGATCTTCTGTGCAGGTGCATGCACGCTTGTGTTTCCATGTCAAAGGTTTGTTTGTTTCTTTGTTTGTTTGCTTCTTTCCTTATTCCTGTCTTTCTTTTTTTGGGTGAGTGTGTTTGTGATTTCGTGTATGTGTGTGTATGTGTTTGGTGTGCCTGCGTGGCCTGCGTGCCCAAGTGTTTTTTGTATGTTTGCCTGTGTGTTTGTGTGCCTGTGCATCCGTGTGTTTGTGTTTGCGGGTGTTTGCGGGTGCATGCGTTGCGTGTTTGTCTAAGCACATCTTTCAGAAATGGTTTCTGCCAAATGTATGTCACACACAGGCCATCTTTACCGATTTCACAGGCTGCCCGCTTCCGTTCATTTAGAGGGTCTCTCAAGGTACCCCTGCCCTAACATGCTTGGCTGTCTTTTGCTTCCCTTCAGTATCTCCCAAAGGGGGGTCCACCATTTTGAGACCTCATTTGTTGGTCACTCAACTGGCCATGAACTTAAACAAGGAACCTCCTGGAAAGTGGTGGACAGAACCCCCCCACCTTTCTCATGTCCACCATTTGGGGTCCCTAAGAAAATTAATTAATTGCCTCAGGCGGTCCGTTTGTATATGTTCCGTTTTTTTTTATCCCCCCCCCCTTTTTTTTCTTTTTTTCCCCGGTGCCAGGGGCTTTCTCTATGTGAGCGACTTCCACCAGAACCGGCTCCGACGGGTTGACTTGGGCTCCAATGCTCTCACTGGAGGCGGGGCCGGCCATCCGTGGGGCATGACATCGGAGACAAATATGCCCCATTTGGGCTGGCCGAGGCACAAAACCCGGATATGAAATCGGATGGCCGGAAATGACTGTTGGTTTTGGAGCGCAAGAGATCAAACCATAGGTTTGCTTGATTGGGTACTAGCGGAAGCCATCTGTTTTCCAAAAGGACATGTTGGAGACGGTTTTTTGCGGATCGAGCATGGCATTTGTCTTCTTCGGACCAGAGGCCTGGTTTGCCCTGGGAGCACAGGGGCACATTACGAAAGTGGCTGAACCAGACAAGGAGATGAAGTTCAACTACAAGGGTCCCTTGCGCAGACCGCGTCCCACCTTGCACGGGCCGAACAGTTTGATGACGCATGGTCAGGGGAGCAACACCAACTGGGAGGCGCAGGCTCACACCATTTCTTCCATTTGGTTGAGAATATTTGTTATGTTCCCCTGTTTGTTTTAAGGGAATCTACTACTAGTGGAAATATGTTTATTTGTCCCAGGGGACTTTAACTAATGGAGGACTTTGTTTGCCTTTGCATTTTTGTTCAAACCCTGTTTGGTTTTCAGTCACGGAGAGAGAGATTCGGGTGGGGAGCTGTTAAAAAACAGGCATCAGTTTGTTTGCTCCCCCGGTGCCCAGCCGAACCATGCAGCGCTTGTATTGTGTTCATTTCATGCGAAATGGCAGCTGGAACCAGTTGGTACATACTTGAAGCCCTCACTTTTCTCGCCAGCTTACTTCATTTTTTGCTGGCTTAAGACTCGAGAGCCGAGAACCAACATGAAGGCAGTCGGACGTGCATGCGCACGATTCCTGTTTTTATACGTGCTTTATTTATTGATTGATTGATTTATTTATTTATTTTATTTGTTTATATATATATATATGTATTCGGTTCTTTTTTTTTTTTGGGGGGGGGGGTGTTTTTTTGGGCCGGTATTTGCATGCGGACGTCTTTTTGCCCCCTGTTGGGTTGGGGAAGCCATCGGAGGCACGGTGACCACGGTGACGGGCACCGCCTTGGGCGCCGGCTTCGAGCACCGGCTGCTGAAGCCCTCGGGGCTCCTACTGGATACCACGGCGCCGTAGTTGGCACGGGCGTGGGTCAATGTGATTTTGTTTAGTTGTGATATATATATATATATAGTTATTTATTATTGTTTTTATTACTAGTATTATTAGTGTCATTATGATTCGTATGATTGTTATTATTATTATTATGTTTATTATTATTCTTATTGTTATTATTATTATTATTAGTAGTATTATTATTATTATTTTGTGGTTTGTGGGCTGGGTGGAATTTCTCTCTGTGTGTGTGTGTGTTTGGAGGCTTTCCTTTTGGATTCCCTTTGCACAAAGCAAAGTTCTCGTAAACCCACCCTGAACACTCTTGAGCTCGCCTTGAACCAGCCACAAGCTATGTTTACGCATGTTAAAGTCCCCATTGTGCAAACGAAGTCCTGCTGGTTTCCTTTTAAAGGGGTTCTCGTTGTGACCCCTCCTGAAATCCGAGTCGGACCTGCTCTACGTGGCGGACTCCGGGCACGCCCGACTGCGCATAGTGGACCCCACCACGACAACTTGCGGCGCCGAGCTGCCGACCTTCGCCACGAAGCAGTTCTGCCGCACGGCGGAAGTGCGTTTTGTTTTTGTTCGAGGGAAGGAAGCCGTGGATTTATGCATGTGCCAAAGTCAGGCCCCCACCAATGCTGGGTGAGTTTACCCTGTCTGTGGAGCAATTAGCTAGCATCGTAGCCAGGTTGCACGTTTTCTCCGCTGCCGTTGTGGCTTTGACTCGGATAGAGCGCAATAGCGGATTCTCGCTGAAACCCAAGCTGGTGGCGGAGCCGGTCGTCCATGGAGGCATATCCCGTTGCACCGCGAAGTGATTCGGGATCTCGGGAATGGTGATGATGACGGGGCAGGACGCGAAAAAAAGGGGAAAGGGACAAAACGGCCGTCTGATCGGCGCGCAAGCGCCATGGCTCGGGCCGGCAAGCGCGCTGACCGCTGAGCCATGGCGCCGTGGCTTTCGTTTTTTGGGGTTAACCGTTCTGTTTTCTGTTGTCGCGTGACAACTAATAGTTCTGACCGCCCACCTTCCGACGACTTGACGCTCAAATCTTAAGGAGTGGACAGCGGCGCCGTCCGCCGTCGGGCAGGTCCCGCGCCGAAGGGCTGACCCCTTGAGGTTGACCTCTCTGCTTCCCCTGTTTAGTTTGTGTTTGGTTGATTTTTCCTGGTACCGCTCCAAATATCGTGGTCTGTCTGAAGGTGAGGCCTTGGACGTCGATGCGGGGTTTCAAGATCGTCGAGCAGTACGGTTTCTGGGGCGATGGGAGCTTCGGTGACGCGCAACTGGCCTTCCAAGGGCCCAAACATAGCCTGACAGGCGCAGAAAAGCAAAACAACATGCCGACGACTGAGAAGATCGTCAGCGATGGCAAGCTGTCCGGCGACAAGCGGGCAAAGATCGGGTTGTCCGACGAAACGTAGGCAGCGATGTCACGATTCTAGTCTGTGCTGACCCGATGCAAGGGGCCAAGGCTTCACAACGGCCACCCGTGAAGGTCGGCTGAATTGCCTGATAGCTGAGGAGGGCCGTGACGTTTTGCGTGTTGCATGGACGTGCGCCCGTACACGAGGGGCGTGAACCTACCTTATCTGTGGAGCAGCTGTCTAACATGCTAGCCAGGTTGCACGTAATCTCCGCCGCCGTTGTGGCTTTGACTCGGGTAAGGGCGCTCTTGGGTTGATGCTGCGAGAAGAACGGAGGCTTGCCGTAGAAGAGGAGGGTGCTCATCCTAAAGTTGGTTGAACAGAAGGCCGCAAGCAAAGTAACCGATGCCCATTTGCGGACTGTGTATGGTTTTATACAAACTATGACTTGTGAACAGTTTTCATCTATAACCAGGGAAGATACCCAAAACACAATCAATGGAACGCAGGCTGGTTTTGACGCAACGTCCGCTGAATGAACATTTTCTCTGTCGGTTTCAATTGGAGATACTGATGATTGGGTGTGATTTCATGAGTTAGAGTGGCACCTGGAGCAAGGAGAAGGCGAGGAAAATAGGTTTAGGGATTGGAGACTGTCCGGTGTATGGGAAAGCTCGGCAAAGGCCACCAAAGCACTTGGGCCTATTCGCAAACGATGAACCCCAGTTAGGTCTTCTGAGGGGCTTTGCCCAGATGAAACCAATCATTGGTAAACAGTTGTACCTCATTTGTTTTTGATGAAAATGCGGAACGGGAGTACGTTATATATAATAGGGTTTGCAGCTGTTTTGTTTGAAGCGTTTTAAGGATCCACAGGTTGGCAAAATGCCTTGTTTCGCGAAGTGAGGTGGGAAGATGCCGAACTGTGTCAAATCAAACTGTTCCAAGGACACAAAAAAAAACACCTCAGGCCGCTGTCATTTTCCGAGAGCAACGAGGCAACCATCAAAACTGGCTGCGCAAGGTTGATTTTGGAAAGGCGTGCGTTTTTTTTTTTTTTTTTTTTTTGGCTGGGTTCGCGTTCATTGGGATATTGAGGTGTTACCCCCCCTGAGATTGTAGGTTGTCAAATCTCTGACTCTGGCCGAACAAACTCCCCTTACAGCGACCAAGTGGGTCATGAGGGATGATTCTCTTTGGTGTATGTGGAGAATGGAGATGGTCATTGTCATCGCCCCTCCAGAAAACCACATGGCAGAATTTTGTCGCCAACATCCCGATCTGAGGAGTTCCTTGTGGTTTGGGGGCTCGGGTTTTGTCGGGTTTTGACGCCCAGGTGGCCAGCAGAGCATGTCCGAAGCGGACTGTTTGCTTCTAGGCGCGGGGAGATTTCATCCGCTGAGCCGACGGTTGGGTTCCTGCGGTGAGGTTCCAGTCTATCATCATTTCTTGGTGGCTCCCAGCCATCCGGCTCCTTAGCTTTTTAGCCTTTTAGTGTTTGGTGGTAGTTTCCATTTGGCCCACTAAAGGTTAGTCACCTTTAGCGGGGGATCTGCGGCAGGTTTTGGGAAGGTCATGGCTTCACCAAGTTGTTCAAGACTCAAGAACACCAGCACACTCTCTGGTCCCTGATTTGCCCATGATTTCAGGAACCTTCATCAGGATCTGCGCCGAATGATCCTTGCTTAAAGGGAGCCTTGGGCACTAGCCAAGCCGAACTGGCTCGATTGCGACTACAACCCACGTGGCGGTTCCGTTTTTCATCCAGATCCTTGCAGGTTAGGTTCCACTACATTTGGGTTTTTGTTTTTGCCACACCCTTTGAATCACCAGGGGGGTTCTCCCGAAGCCGAAGAGGATACCAACAAGGAGCCCTCATTTTGACACGCCCCAAGTGGGTGTGTCTCAAAATAGGGCAACCCCCAAACCGTATGTTCTTCCGGTGTCCCTTTTAAACCACCGAAAACGGGGTACCCTGAAAAAGTTGGTTAAAACGTGTGTTTGGTTTTTCTCGGTTTCCCTTTTGAGCCACCGAAAACAGGGTGCCTGAAAAAACAAGTGAAACGTGTGTTTGTTTTTAGGTTTTCCTTTTTAAACCACCTGAAAACGGGGTACCCTGACAAAAAATACATAAGTGAACCGCGTGTTTGCTTTTTCGGTTTTCCTTTTTAAACCACCTGAAAACGGGGTACACTGAAAAAAAATAAGTGAACCGTTTTTTTCTTCCGGTTTTCCTTTTTAACCCACCTGATAACGGGGTACCCTGAAAAAAATAAGTGAACCGTGTGTTTGTTTTTTCGGTTTTCCTTTTTAAACCACCTGAAAACGGGGTACCCTGAAAAACAAATAAGTGAACCGTGTGTTTGTTTTTTCGGTTTTCCTTTTTAACCCACCTGAAAACGGGGTACCCTGAAACAAAAATAAGTGAACCGTGTGTTTGTTTTCTTCGGTTTTCCTTTTGAAACCACCGAAAACAGGGTGCCCCGAAGAAAAAATAAGTGAACCGTGTGTTTGTTTTTTCGGTTTTCCTTTTGAAACCACCGAAAACAGGGTGCCCCGAAGAAAATAAGTGAACCGTGTGTTTGTTTTTTTCGGTTTTCCTTTTTAAACCACCTGAAAACGGGGTACCCTGAAGAACAAGTAAGTGAACCGTGTGATTGTTTTCTCGGTTTTCCTTTTGAAACCACCGAAAACAGGGTGCCCCGAAGAAAAAATAAGTGAACCGTGTGTTTGTTTTTTCGGTTTTCCTTTTGAAACCACCGAAAAACAGGGTGCCTGAAAAAAATGTTGAACCGTGTGTTTGTTTTTCGGTTTTTCTTAAATTTTCAGACACCGAAAACAGGGTGCCCGAACAAAATAAGTAAAACGTGTTTTTTCCCGGTTTTTCTTTTTAAGCCACCGAAAACAGGGTGCCCGAACAAATAAGTTAAACGTGTTTTTTCCCAGTTTTTCTTTTTAAGCCACCGAAAACAGACTACCCTGAAAAAACACTGAACCGTGTGCTTGTTTTTTCGGTGTCCCTTTTTGAGCCACCGAAAACAGGGTACCCTGAACAACATATTAAGTGAAACATGTGTTTGTTTTTCGGTTTTCCTTTTGAAACCACCGAACACAGGGCTACCCTGAAAAACATATTAAGTGAAACATGTGTTTGTTTTTCGGTTTTCCTTTTGAAACCACCGAACACAGCGCTACCCTGAACAAAATATTAAGTGAAACATGTGTTTGTTTTTCGGTTTTCCTTTTGAAACCACCGAACACAGGGCTGCCCTGAAAAAATATTAAGTGAACCATGTTTTTTTTGGTTTTCCTATTGAAACCACCGAACACAGGGCTACCCTGAAAAAATATTAAGTGAAACATGTGTCTGTTTTTCGGTGTTCCTTTTGAAACCACCGAACACAGGGCTACACTGAAAAAATATTAAGTGAAACATGTGTTTGTTTTTCGGTTTTCCTTTTGAAACCACCGAAAGCGGGCTACCCTGAACAAAATATTAAGTGAAACATGTGTTTGTTTTTCGGTTTTCCTTTTGAAACCACCGAACACAGGGCTACCTGAAAAACATATGAAGTGAAACATGTGTTTGTTTTTCGGTTTTCCTTTTGAAACCACCGAAAACGGGCTACCCTGAAAAAATATGAAGTGACACATGTGTTTGTTTTTCGGTTTTCCTTTTGAAACCACCGAACACAGGGCTACCCTGAAAAAAATATTAAGTGAAACATGTGTTTGTTTTCTTCGGTTTTCCTTTTGAATCCACCGAAAACAGGGTGCCCCGAAGAAACAAATTAAGTGAACCGTGTGTTTGTTTTTTTCGGTTTTCCTTTTGAAACCACCGAAAACAGGGTGCCCCGAAGAAAAAATAAGTGAACCGTGTGTTTGTTTTTCGGTTGTCCTTTTTAAACCACCTGAAAACGGGGTACCCTGAAGAACAAGTAAGTGAACCGTGTGTTTGTTTTCTCGGTTTTCCTTTTGAAACCACCGAAAACAGGGTGCCCCGAAGAAAAAAAAAGTGAACCGTGTGTTTGTTTTTTCGGTTTTCCTTTTGAAACCACCGAAAAACAGGGTGCCCCGAAGAAAAAATAAGTGAACCGTGTGTTTGTTTTTTCGGTTTTCCTTTTTAAACCCTGAAAACGGGGTACCCTGAAGAACAAGTAAGTGAACCGTGTGTTTGTTTTCTCGGTTTTCCTTTTGAAACCACCGAAAACAGGGTGCCCCGAAGAAAAAATAAGTGAACCGTGTGTTTGTTTTTTCGGTTTTCCTTTTGAAACCACTGAAAAACAGGGTGCCTGAAAAAAATGTTGAACCGTGTGTTTGTTTTTCGGTTTTTCTTTTTCAGACACCGAAAACAGGGTGCCCGAACAAATAAGTAAAACGTGTTTTTTCCCCGGTTTTTCTTTTTAAGCCACCGAAAACAGGGTGCCCGAACAAATATGTGAAGCGTGTTTTTTTCCCAGTTTTTTGTTTTTAAGCCACCGAAAACAGACTACCCTGAAAAAACACTGAACCGTGTGCTTGTTTTTTTCGGTTTCCCTTTTTGAGCCACCGAAAACAGGGTACCCTGAACAACATATTAAGTGAAACATGTGTTTGTTTTTCGGTTTTCCTTTTGAAACCACAGAACACAGGGCTACCCTGAAAAACATATTAAGTGAAACATGTGTTTGTTTTTCGGTTTTCCTTTTGAAACCACCGAACACAGGGCTACCCTGAACAAAATATTAAGTGAAACATGTGTTTGTTTTTCGGTTTTCCTTTTGAAACCACCGAACACAGGGCTACCCTGAAAAAAATATTATGTGAAACATGTGTTTGTTTTTCGGTTTTCCTTTTGAATCCACCGAACACAGGGCTACCCTGAAAAAAATATTAAGTGAAACATGTGTTTGTTTTTCGGTTTTCCTTTTGAAACCACCGAACACAGGGCTACCCTGAAAAACATATTAAGTGAAACATGTGTTTGTTTTTCGGTTTTCCTTTTGAAACCACCGAACACAGGGCTACCCTGACAAAAAATATTAAGTGAAACATGTGTTTGTTTTTCGGTTTTCCTTTTGAAACCACCGAACAACATGTGTTTGTTTTTCGGTTTTCCTTTTGAAACCACCGAACACAGGGCTACCCTGAAAAATATATTAAGTGAAACATGTGTTTGTTTTCGGTTTTCCTTTTGAAACCACCGAAAACGGGCTACCCTGAACAAAATATTAAGTGAAACATGTGTTTGTTTTTCGGTTTTCCTTTTGAAACCACCGAACACAGGGCTACCCTGAAAAAATATTAAGTGAAACATGTGATTGTTTTTCGGGTTTCCTTTTGACACCACCGAACACAGGGCTACCCTGAAAAAAATATTAAGTGAAACATGTGTTTGTTTTTCGGTTTTCCTTTTGAAACCACCGAACACAGGGCTGCCCTGAAAAAGTTTTTAAGTGAAACATGTGTTTGTTCTTCGGTTTTCCTTTTGAAACCACCGAACACAGGGCTACCCTGAACAAAATATTAAGTGAAACATGTGTTTGTTTTTCGGTTTTCCTTTTGAAACCACCGAACACAGGGCTACCCTGAAAAAAAAATAAGTGAAACATGTGTTTGTTTTTCGGTTTTCCTTTTTGAGCCACCTGAAAGCGGGGCTAGCCTGAAAAAGTAAGTGATAAACGTGTGTTTGTTTTTTTGTTGTTGGTTTTTTTTCTCGAAACCACCGAAAACAGGGTGCTCCGAAGAAAGAATAAGTGGCGGCAAATCTCCGCCAGGCTGCTGCTACGACGCCAGCTGCGCCTCCCTGCCCAACTTTGATGGGCGCCAGACGCCGGGCTTCCAACCGGAGGCACAGCAGCGTGCTGTGTTGTTCTTTTTTTGTTTGGCTCACTCCCTGAGTTCATGGAAAGATTAAATACTTAGCCGGTGTTTTTTTTTAAATAATTTTTTAAACTGCCGTTTCTTTTTTTTTGGATTTTCAAGTGTGTGGAAAGATTTAAGTGGTAAATAAAAGGTTCAGACTTTCTTTGGCCAGTCCACTCAGGTGTTGAGTTGGGGGGACCGGCTTTTAGGGTGGGTTTAAAGTGATGGCAAAATTGGGAACACCCCGAATTTGCGAATTTGAAGGCACGTTTCCTTTTTCAGGCAGTGTCGAGCGCTTTAGAGGCCAAAGGTTCCTTTTGGTTCTTCACTAGATCCCTTCTAGGCGGACGTCATGACTCGTCTAACTGTTGGAGCCGGTTTGGCTCATGGTTTGCATTTCACACCCGATGTGCTCTTGGGAGAACTCGAAAAATATGTCCTGACGTGAGCTGAGTGATGCTCTTTGCTGCCAGGTGTCTGAGCTGATGGCTTCCCCTCTAAAAATGGTTAACCCCATTCTCTTTCCTTCAGGCACTGGGCAACTGGGGTGATAAATCAGACTGCACCAGGATGTCCTCACCCGCGTTGACGGCGCCAAGCTAGAACCGCCCATCTCCTTCGTGTACGGAGGCTTGGGAGGAACACGACTGGCACTCTGAAAAAACCCAAAGGAGACCAAAGTTTGGAAAGGACAGCAGACGAAAGTGTCCCCTGATTCGGGATTGCTTTGCATGTTTGGCCGGTCACTTGAACGAAATGATCATTACTGTATTGGTTGGTTTTGTTTGTAAGCTTTCTGGGCAATTGATGGGTTTCCGGGTAGAGTGCATGCCCTAGCTCTGATAAGTACACCAACCACGCTCTGCCCGAACAGCAATATTCACGTCGTTTTAAGACCTTGGACATTTGGGAATCCACCTTCCATGCGTTCCGCCCACCTGTTTAATACGGAAAAAAGGGAACCACGACCATGGCAATCTTAGCAGTTGCTGTATCAGGACAGATTTGTTTCTGAGCAATTCCTCATACCTCCTGTTGCTTTCCTTCGTGGATGCTCTCATTCGACATGAGCGAACGAACGAACCTGTTTGGAGGGACCATGGCGGCCATGCCTCTCTTTTCATGCTCCTATTGCTTCTTCTTTTGCTGCAGAAACTCCGGTCCTTCTTGTGCGTCCCTCCACCCCCAGCCCTCCACCCCTCCAGCCCTCTCCACCCCTCCAGCCCTCCCGCCCTCTCCACCCCCTCCAGCCCAGCCCACCCCTGCAGCTCGCGAGGCACGGAGCGCTGCTGCCACCCCAACCTGCGGCCCATGGCGACGCTGGACGTGGCCGAGTGGCCCAACGGCCTGGCGCTGGACGCCGCCAACCGACTGCCGGGGATCCCCGGAGCCCAGATCGGAGGAGTCGCTGTCGGGGCCCAGATCGACGGATTTTTGTTCAATGGGCGGACACGAACTGCTGGACATGGTGAGGAAGATTTACTTTATGTACCAACCAAGTTGTTAGGGAAATCCAAGTTTGGAGGTGCACCGCCATTTTTGGCGGTTGGCTCGTGCTGACTGGTCCAAAGCCAAGCTGATTTTTGTTTTTTGAGTTGGCCGGCAGTTTTGGGGTGTGGCTTGAGGGGGAACCACTTTGTTTTGGGGTGTGGCTGGACCGAAATAGAAGTTTGAACAATTGAATCGTTGGTAGTTCAACCTCGTGGCAAGATGTGTGACAAAATAGGGATCCCCGACAACAGTGAGTCTCCTTTTGGTTTCCCAACCTGAAGAGGGTGCCTACGAAACAAACACACACCCATTTGTACCATCGATAGTCTGTTACGGGGGACCTGTTGTTTTAATCAGTTCCCATTGTCATTTCGCCTGGATAAAGGGAAACATGTGTTTGGCCAGGGTCGCTCATGATCTTCGGGTTGAGGGGATAGTTCGAGTCTGGGTACAGGGACCTATTTCCAGAGTTCGGTGCTTTGCACGGGTCTTAGGTGAAGCAGCGAAGCCGACGTAGGGGTGAAGTGCGGGTTTCGTGGGATCAAGCCGGGACCTCTCTGACTCAGTTTGAGCGATGTTCCGGTTAACTAAACATGGACTGGAATCGAAGAATCTGCAATTTAACTTAGTAGGAGGCAAAGGCTGAGGTAGGAAAACAGCAAGAGGCAAAGGGGGCCCCTTGATTTTCACTGTGCATTCGATTTGTTGCGCGCTCGCACAGACATAAGTAACCCTTCGGTGAACCATTCTCGGAAAAGACTCCGAATGATTTTGACTATAGGGCGTGCGTATGATGGTGAACAAAGTGTGTTTCCTGACCCAATTGTCGCATTTTCAGTGCGGCACTTGTTTGTTCATCCATTGCCCTTTTGTTAGGATGCTGATCTCCAGACCAATCCAAACCACTTAATGAATAGGTTAAGTGCGACCTGCTTTGAGGCTCTACGTCGCAGAAGGCAAAGACCATCGTGTGGCACGCATCTCAGCGCGTCGCATCAGCCCCTTCGCTTGTTTGGGGTTGGGGCTTGGTTTTGGATGGGATTAAGCCGGAACCAATGAGGAGTCAACCTGTTTTTCTCCAGCCAAAAGCCCCCCGCCGGCCCCCACGGCCATTTAAGACAACCTTTGTGTCGTGGTTCAGAACTCCTTCATTGGTCCCAACTCCCACTGTAATCCCTGCTCTCACATCCCTGAGAGTTTTTCCCCCTAGCTCGAAATCTTGCCTTGAAGGCAGCATGACAAAGTGGGTTTCGGGCTGCTTGTGAAAGGAAGCCACAAATATTTCGCGTGGGTTCCCAGTGCCCGAAAACCGGCCCCGCTGTCCTTTTCGCAGGTACGCATTCATCTCGATGAAGGGCGATGCGTCTCCGCGCCTCGACCATTCTTTGATGGCTGATTCTTGTTGGTCGCGCATGCGTCTGGGATGTCTCTGTCTTGCGGACGAAAAAGTAATTTTGTTTGCCCAGGAAAACGAGACTGGCAAGAGGAACAACTGTGGATGGACAAAACCCTGCACCGCTTGGAAACCATGGTTGAAACCATTGTTTGTTGGTATTTTACAGGGAAATCATCCTTCCAGGGTCGCTGAGGTGGTGCGAAATGGATTTCGCAACCATCCACAGTATCGTCAGGGTTGAGGCAACTTTGGGCTCTGGGCCAGGCTTGATGCCAGAGTTGGGTTCCGATGTTTCATTGGCTTCAGCCGCGCGTTCATCCTGTGGACGGACGAAGTCCATTTCGCACCATCCAAGAAAATCTGGAATGTTTCGATTCCGCAGTACCAAGAAACTGTGGTGTGGCATGGTTTCTTAGGTGATGCAGGATTTCGTCCATTCACTGTATGTTTTGGCAAAACCTCCATTTTGAGCGGTCGTAGAATTCAGGCTCTTGTTTCCGGGTGAAACCGGGGAGGTTGGGGGACACTGGGTTGCGTCCAATGAAAAACTGTATCAACAGAACCGCGACGGAACGCGGTTCAAAGTTCGCAGCGCGCTTCACCATGCTAGAGTCCAGCTTGATTTCCTGACTTAGATTCTGGCTACTTTAATGTTGGGGTGTCCAAACCATACTGTGGGTGGGCGAAATCCTGCACCACTTGGGATCCTCCCCAAGTCCGCATTTTGATTGTAGCTCGTTTGGTGGGTTTGAGCATCACCTTGTGGTTGCCAAAATAGAGTGGTTGTTCTGTTGGTGGAATGATGTTTACAGGTTGGACATATAGTTGGAGATCCGCTGGGCTAACACATGTACCAGCATTCTCGTTCTGGTGTGGCATGTGCCAGGGTTCCTTACACGTCCAACTTGTAAATACCACGCCGCCAAAGAGAACTCACTGTAAGTTTGGCGCTCCAACCCGTGATTGACCCTTTCAGGTTGCTTGTTATACGTTCAAGAAAATAACAATGTGCCCCGTGGTACGCTGCTAATCATAACGAGCTCGCCTGGGGTAAACAAACTCGATTATAAGACCTTGCCTGGATGTTTGTGTTAATATTCTGCAGACATGCATACACACTCATTTACAAGCCACATGTACAGATTGTCACAGTGGATCCATTGTCGGGGCACAGAAACGTCCAAACATCCAGCGGTCAATGGTCCATTTGGCAGGGCATTGGGACTGGTGTGTCTCCAGTTGTCACAAGAGTAGTGGTAAAGGTTGACCGTGGTTCATACTGTGGATGGACAAAATCCTGCACCACTTTGAAACCTGGTTGAAACCATGGTTTGTTGTTATTTACAGGGGAATCATCATTCCAGGGTTTCTTGGGTGGTGCAGGATTTCGTCCCTCCACAGTATCTTGTGATAGTCGTGAAGTCGGATGCAGATCTCTCGCAGGCCGATGCCTCTTCACAGGTGTGCTGAATCCGGAGGCTGGCTGAAGCTGCGAGTGTGTTTTCCCCGCGTGTGAAGAGCACAACTTGTTGCGTCACTCAACCCACCGTCTTTGCGAGCTTCCCCTTTTGGGGTTTCCGCTAGGTTCCTTTTTGACCAGCGAAACGTCAACATTTGCCTGGGGTGGGATACGTTTGACCAAGTCTGCAGGGCATCAAAGACCACCATTTGGTGTTCATGTTTGTTTGCAGATTAGTGGAAGTGCGCTTGGGACCTGGTGGGGAGTGAGGTGTCGGGTTTGTTTGTGCTATGGCAGAGAGGGTTCACCCAAGGAAACCAACAGGGGATGGCCACGTCTTGATGTTTGTCCAGACGCTCTATTTAACACGCGCAGGCTCATGTTGGCCCTGCAAATCGGAGTCCCAGGTCTGGAAAGAAGCCAGGGGCGAACCGCAAGAACTTAGAACCGCAGGAAGACTGGAAGAATAATTATAGGGGTATGGGTAAACATGTGCCACCTTGCTTCCGTTTGCCAGGGTTCCATCTTGGATGCCGATGTTTGACCCACAGCCATATCCAAGACAGGAACCACCGAAAAGAAAAGCTATAGGAAAGCCAACTGCGAGCTCACTGAAAAGCAGCGCCAGCCAGTTCCAGCCACTGTGGAACTACACTTCTCAGCTACTCTAATCCTCCTTCTTTTTAGAAAAGGGGGCAAAACCCACTTTCGGCAACTGGTTGCCTCCGACCGTTTAGCTTTCCCATCTCACGTCTTCTTTCGGTTCACGATCCTGTTGGTGTATGTTGGTGTGCTGGGTAGGTCCGCCCGTTCCAGGTGATGGTTTGCCAGCCTGAAATCAGAGCCGGACCCCGGAAATCTGCGCAGGCAGGAGGGGACTGTTTGGGGGGCGGCCGGGGCGGGGGGGGGGGGCCGGGAGGGGGGTTCAAAGCGCGGCCGGGCTCTTTCAGAAATAGATAAGTTTAAACATAAACCAGTGGAAGCCACAAAGCTCACACACCTACTTGTGGAAATGCCCAGATACATCACAACACACCGGCAAGTGTGACCCTCTGCTTCTTCTTTTTTTGTTTTCTTTTTTTCTTGTTCGCGGCTCGCCCAGAACAAGTTCTTGCCAGCACGCAACTAGGACCTTGTGGCGTTTCAAGAACATCATTTGGGTATGGGTCAAAATTACACCACCAGGGACCGCAGGTTTGTCCATGCTTCCATTTACCAGGGTTCCATTTTGGGTACCTATTTTTGACCCACAGCCATTTTTCAAAAGTTTAGACTCCAAGGGGAAATATTATGTTGGCCAATGACTGAACATGGGAAATCCGCAGAAGTTGGCCACGCTCAAGGGAAAACAACATGGCCCAGAATCAATCATGTCTTTTGGGTGCGGAAGCTAAGGCAGTAAAACCTTCTTGTTTTACGCATCATCTCCGCCAAAGGGTCCATATTTTAAGTAAACATCATACCCAGAGGAGTCTCGAAGCTCAGTCACCGCACAGGCCGCTTCACAGATGCCAAAGAGAAGGCGGGGAAAAGCTGGGAGTCATTGTTTTTCCCCACGCCTTGCGTATGGAAGGTACCCAAGTAAGTGAGCCCGAGCAGTGCCCGTGTAGCAGTTGGAGTCCAATCTATTGCTAAACCATCATGAGAAAGGCCCGGGGCAACTGATGGTGTTGTCTGCTTCCTTGCATTTGGAGGAGGAGCCAAGCCTGGCAGGCCCTGGCTTGTCTTCCCCAGGGCATGTTGGTTCAAGGAGGGGGGCTGCTTAAAGTTCGGAGGAGGCTGTAGCTCAAGAACATCTACAGTGGCAAGTATCACCACGCCTCTTCGCCTCAAAATCGTCCTAAAGAGGGCCCGAGTCATTGATCGCTGAGACGGGGCTCGCTGCATTCCTATTTCGGCTCGCTGGGATGGTTGGACAAGCTCGAAGGGTTTTTGTAAAAAAGAGCTGCGTGGCGGTTTTTGTTTTTGTTTTTTGGGGGGATTGTGTTGAAGGGAAACCTAATGCCTGGAAGGATTCCTCATTTTGAGACGGACCCATGAGACCACAAACACAAAGAGACTGCAGGAAGCTTCCATGACATTTGAGCTCGATCCTGAAGGATTCTCCACTTCAGCTTGGGAACCAGAAAACCGTGGCGTTTCAAGGTCTCGGGCGGAAAAAGGGGGGGAAGGAACCCAACTGCCGAGGCCCCCAGAAATCGGCCGATCCAATGGGATGCCCCCCCCAAAATCAGCCGTCGGATGGTTTTTGTATGGGGATGCTGCACCCAAGAACCCCATTGGATGGTGGTTTTTCTCGCACGAATACCGACAAGCGGCGTTTTTTGTTTTCTTCAGGTTTTCGAAGTGGTGCGAAATGGATGTCGTCCATCCATGGGGTGCTGCTAAGCCACACGGGGGTGAAACCAGGAATACTGGGCCGGGAGAACGAACAATGGGTGCATGGGATTAGCTCCTACTGGGACCCAACAATCAACCAACCGTCGTGTAGTGGGATGGAACCAACAAAATGGCACTGTTCAACTAAGGTGCATGTGCCCACAACAGCAGGAGCAGGCCAGCAACGTGCGAAGATGACACATCCCCAACTTCAAACCCATTTCAATTCTGGGAACACAGTATACGAGAAGATTTGGTATCCTGGTTTAAAAGCAAGCAAAAGTCAATGAACAGGATGTTCAACAGGCTACTGGTAGTTCATGACTACTATCTATAATGCTTTGAGGTACTAGCTCATGACCATATCCATACTGTGGATGGACGAAATCCTGCACCACCTCAGACACCCTGAAAGGATGATTCCCTGTAAATACCAACAAATCATGGTTTCCCATCGCTTCCAAGTGGTGCGAAATGGATTTCGTTCATCCACAGTATCAAGTAAGAAACTTAGAGAGATTTGGGGTCAGCGAGGACTTCATCCTGCGCAAACTCAAGGAGAGCTGCTTGAAGGATGCGAGCCGACTGGTTGGGTGGGTGAATCGTTGCTTCCTGAAACTCGAACCTCAAGTCCAATTTGTAGTAGTGTTGGGAGAATCTAGCAAAAACCAATGCATCTTCGGGGAAACCGATTCGGAAACCTCGCAGGACGGCCAAGAGACACGGCTCTGACGCGAACCCGAATCGAAGCGACCGAACCGAAGGATACGCGGTGAAAATGGGTCGGGTGGGTCGAAGACTTGCCGGGCTCCGGAGGCTGGATTAGAGCAACTGCCACAGCGCAAAAACGCGTGCACGTGCGAGAGCGCCAAGAATGGTGCTGCCTGTCCAATTGCCCAAGAGAGCCGAAAGAATAACATCTGCCCACGGCGGAATAACTGCCAGCACTGTGAAGGGACGAAATCATGAAAGGGCGTATTCGTTTTGTGTACCCCTTGTTGGTCTGTTTTAAAGGGAAACCAAACGAAAACCGAAGCCATATGCGGGGTCCAACCTTAAAAAAACACAGATCCATACTGTGGATGGACTAAATCCAGTTCGCGCCACGAAATGTGTCACCATGGTTGAAACCGTAACGTTTGTTGTTATTTAGGTCGGGGAGTCAGCAGAAATCGGTTTTTTTCTGGTTGCGTGCAAGATTTCGAACCCATCCTCAAAATGACCCAAGCATGCTTGTTGTTGGGAAACAATTTTCATTTGTGCTTATGGTGGTTTAATGGGAAATCCCCACTTAACTAGAGAAAAAGAGAGCCATTGACCGGGATCCTTCGTGGAGAATGACCAAGGAATCCAAATCAGCTTTCGTCCACAAAAAAAGCTGGTGCGATAAGTAGGGAATGAGGGAATGAATCCAGGAATTGATCCCCTTAAAGGAAACCACCAATTGGACTCTTTTTTTCTCGGGTTCATTCCATTTCTCATTCCCCACGTCTCTCCCACCAGCAAAACAATTGCTTGTACTTTCTGCAGCCACGCCAGCCGCTTTTTTTTGACGCCATCGCAAAGCACGACGCATTCGCTTGGGATGGGCGCTGATGGCTATGGTTCGTGTAGGGTTCCGAAAATGGTACCCCACTGACCAAACTGGCTTAGGTGACCCATGGAACCAAATATGTGATGCCAGCGTTGATGAACATCAAGCACCAGGGTTGATATAATGTAGTGAGCCCAACAAAGAGGATAGAATACCATAAAACCGTGAGAAATCACTCCTGCAGGTTTTTGGAGGTTAAGTATACCTATGGCTTATCCCCATATCCTCACTCCTGCCACCACTGGGCTGCCATGGACATGTCCGGTTTGTTGATGACCAGTGGGGCAGCGGTGCTGGTGACCCATTGCGCTGTCTTCAGTTCCGCCGCTTGGACAAAGCAGTGGCTTGGTGGTTGGCTGTGGTGGTCAAAACCGATGGTACCATTTTTGGGGTAGGTGAATTCACCACCCATTTTAGAACCTATTTTAGTGGTTGGATTGAATCGGATGTTCACTGGTACCGGATTTTTTGACTCATGGCCATCATGTTGTCGGGTGTTCAAAGGGAAGCCAGCCAGAAACCAACCTATTTTTGAGGGATGGGTCATATGCGCAAATTTATCATATAACCCTAGTTTGGATGGCCCGGGGCCCTGTAAGGTGAAAAAGGCCATGGCAATGAGTCAAAGCGCTGGTACTCCAGTGAATCTCAAACTAGCTGGTGGCGGTCGATGTCCATGGGTTTTGAACAATGCAGGCCTTGTTGCTCATGCGCAATGCCAGTTGAATTTTTGTCGCATTCTGTTGTCGCATTCGGATCTCGAGAGCTCAGGAAGTGAGTGACATTCTGCAACGTGTGGGCCATGCAGTGTGGTACGGGTTCAGTCCTTCGAATGAACAGATGGAAGCTGCTGTTTGGGATGCTCGCATCAAGCAGTATCGCTCATCCTCGAGAGCCTGCATGCACATTGCGGCCATTTGCACCTGCGCTATTTCAAATTCTTAGTTGGCCCAGAAAGGATCGCATTTGTGTATTTTTGGATTGATGATCCCATTCGTTCATATCTTTTGAGATCAACCAGGCACTTGTGGTCAGATGATACACCTCCAGTGGAACCACAACGCGCACTCGACCTGGCCGTTTCTGATTTCAATGTCTGCGTGGCTGATGCATTTGCTGATCAGTTCCAACATCCTGCCGTTAGGCCGTGCCAGGTGTAGGCTGTTCGTTGTTGCAACTGGGCAGATCATGTGTTTTTGTTTGCATATATTAGAAAGAAATGCTAACTGCGAACCCAAAAACGGACCCAACATGTTCTGCAACAGCCACATCAGCTGCTTGGATTCGCCAGGTAATGTATTTGATGGTGGGCATTTGGATCGCCGGCTATCCGTCAGACTGCCAAAATGCATTAATCCTCACCAGCGTGAGCCTCTGTGTTCGCTTTGCAGTCGCCACTTTTTTCGTGGACTTCCAGGTTGGTGTTCCCGCTCAATCCTTATTAAGCCTACTGGAGACATGGAATGCCTGGAAGCTCGATCCAAGCTCGATACACATCATCTTCATCAATCAGCTGACCGTTTCTTGCCGCCGGATGGGGTGGTTTGTTTGTGTGTTTGTGTGTTTGTGTGTTTGCGTCTTTGTGTGTTTGCGTGTTCGCGTGTTTGCGTGGTTGTGTGCTTGTGTGCTTGGTTTGTGTGTGTCTGTGTGTTTGTGTCTGTGTGTTTGTGTGTTTGTGTGTGTCTGTGTGTGTGTGTGTTTGTGTGTGTTTGTGTGTGTGTTTGTGTGTGTGTTTGTGTGTGTGTGTGTTTTTTTTGTGTGTGTGTGTGTGTGTGTTTGTGTGTGTGTGTGTTTGTGTTTGTGTTTGTGTTTGTGTTTGTGTTTGTGTTTGTGTTTGTGTTTGTGTGTGTTTATGTGTTTGTGTGTTTGTGTGTTTGTGTGTTTGTGTGTTTGTGTGTTTGTGTGTGTGTGTTTGTTGTGTGTGTGTGTGTTTGTTTGTGTGTGGTTGTGAGTGTGTTTGTGTGTGGTTGTGTGTGTGTGTGTGTTTGTGTGTGTGTGTGTGCGTATGTTTTTGTGTGTGTGTGTGTATGTTTGTGTGTGTGCTTGTTTCTGTGTGTGTGTGTGTTTGTTTGTGTGTGGTTGTGAGTGTGTTTGTGTCTGGTTGTGAGTGTGTTTGTGTGTGGTTGTGAGTGTGTTTGTGTGTCTATGTTTGTGTGTGTTTATGTGTGTTTGTGTGTGTGAATATTTTGCGTGTGTGTGTGTGTGTGCGTGTGTGATGTTGTGTGCGTGTTTGTGTGTGTGTGTTTGTGTTTGTGTTTGTTTGTGTTTGTGTTTGTGTTTGTGTTTGTGTTTGTGTTTGCGTTGCTGTTTGTGTTTGTGTTTGTGTGTGTGTGTTTGTGTTTGTGTTTGTTTGTGTGTGTTTGTGTTTGTGTGTTTATGTGTTTGTGTGTGTGAGTGTGTGAGTGTGTGAGTGTGTGTGTGTGTGTTTGTGTTTGTGTTTGTGTTTGTGTTTGTGTTTGTGTTTGTGTTTGTGTGCTTGTGTTTGTGTGTGCTTGTGTCTGTGTGTGCTTGTGTCTGTGTGTGCTTGTGTGTGTGGTGTGTGTGTGTGTGGTTTGCTGCATTTGTTTGCGAACATTTGGCATGGATGCTGCCTCAGCATCGGACGTTACAAAATATGTATATACACAAATATGTATATATACATATATGATGTACGCCCCGGGATTTAAAGATGCATAGGGCATGCAGATGTTCCACTAGATTTCGGCATTGTGTCATGGACTGTGGCCAGGGTTGGAGGGTCCGATGAGGGGGGGCTGCGGAGGGTGAAGGGGAAAGAAGGGGTGGGGTCATCCAGGCCGGGCGGTGCTGAGAGCTCTTGGCGAGAGGAAAGAACAAAGAAAGGATATAAGTCACCGCAACAAAACAACAAGAGAGAAGGGACAACGAGGAAAACGAGGACTTGCTCCACCATGGAGATGAAGAGGTTGCTGATCGCTGCCTCTGCAAGCTGTTCCCTGCTGCAGGGCCCTCCTTCAGCAGCATGCGGGAGCAAGAGAAGCTTTGTCTCCCTGCGAGAATGTGCGAAGGGAGACAACAAACAAGGAGTGAGGCATGGCTCAACTGGATGACACCCTGCAAGTTTCCGTTGGTGAATGGGCGAAGGGTAATCCGGCCATCTTTCTCAAGAAGCCGCGGGAGGTTCGGCTTGGTGACTTTGTAAAAGCCAATGGTTTCAAGGCCAGGACATGTAGTCCACTTGCTATCAAATACACCATGCGTGAGAACTGCTTTGCCGTACGCGAGTAGCCCACCCCTCCGACCTCGGCTTGGCGGCGCAGTGGACAGCGTGCGCTAGCACCCCACCCACCCCACCCGCATGACGACGCTATCTCAGCGTTGCGGCGAAGTGGCGAGAGCGCTCTTGCCCCAGCCCACCCGCCCAGCCTCGCGTGACGACGCAGCCGTACGCCAGCCGGCGAAGGTCGGCTCCAGGTGTATAACTTTTTTATACGTTGAGAGACATCTTGGTGCCGCGAGAGCGCCCTCAGGTTTCGGCCTTCATTTTGGTCTTGGCCGGGCTGATGGAATTCAACAACCGGAGCCGGATCGCGCTGCTGACGAACTCCGAGTCCATGGTCCACAGCTTTCGGAGGCGCTGCAAGATGAGTCGCTTGCTTCGCCCGGGTTACGAGTGGGCCCTCCAAACTTACTTCAGCTAGAAATGGGTCAAGAGCCCACTTCAGAAATGAACCACCAACCAGAAATACCGTCCCCACCAGCTGGGATCTATGATGAACCCAACACCAACGAATAACAATGGGACCTAGCTACCAACCGGAGCCAACTGGATTTCTGATTGATCAGTGGAAGATCATATTGATAGGAGAACCGGACGGTAGATCGCTTGTGCAATTGGCCCAACCCGATGCGAGGGTGCTACGTGGGGTGTGTGATGGTGAAGTCCTGCTGGATAGCAAGTTGCGAATTTCCGGCGAAGCAGGCTGCCTGCAGATCCTGTGCTACATTGTCAGTGTTGTTTTGCGGTACTTTGCTTGAGATTTCGAGCGGTGGGCTCATCTTGATGCACAGAACTTGGTTGAAACATTTGACAGTTTTGACGCAGGATATCCAAATATGTGGGTTTCGGTGCCCACCAAGGACTTTGCTGATGGTCTCAGACTCTGACTTCTGCAACAAGAACTTCGAGGAGTTGCTGATGGAGGATGAGCGCGAGCGTTTTCGGAGCCACCCGGAGACATCAATAGAGATAGCATGTTTGGCGCAAAAATCCATCTGTGGTGTTGTGCAACTCATGTCGTGTTTTACCCGGTCGATTCTTCCAGTTCCAACGTGTTCAACACGTTGGATCCACTTTGGGATTGAGCTCCAACACTTCGGCAAGGCTTCATGTCCGAAGGCAAGGGGGCCACTGCATCATCTGGCATCACTGCGCCTCCATGCTTGCGAGTGTCGTTGAAGCTCGGATGCAACCTCGGCAAAACTCAACCTCCAATGGTCATGGCAATGGCAACTTGGCTCGATGCAATGCAAGCAAATTCCTGACTGGGTTTCTGATGGTTTCCCAGGCCGCACATCGGACTGTGTTCGATTCGCGTTTCTCTGAGGAAACGCGCGATCTGCCTCAGATCGAACTCGTGCCCACGCGTGGGGGTGGACCTCTTCCACGTGCCGCTGATGTTGGGTGAGGAAACCTATCATCTCATCGTGCTCAGAGAGGACAGCGACTCGAGATCCCAACTGGAAGTCGCTGGGTTGACCGATCTTTGTGGTTGTTTGTTTCCTTGGAACCAAATTCGTTGGATCGGATGTTTGGACATGTTTGGTTTCACATGTTTGTGATACCTAGAATTTTTTGGATGTTGTGCTGTTTTTTCATATATCTCCGTTCCTTACTTTGCCCTCGGCCACTTGAAGCTTGGCAAGGTCCTTGCTGATGAACATGGAGGTGTGCAGAGTCCCAAACGTGAGAGCGTTGCAAGGAATACCGCGAGGATTGGGCAGAGGTTGGGACAAAATCCACGACCACTGGCCATGTTTCATGGTCAACCAGCCAATTTGGCGGGCGAATGATTAACTTTGAGCCATACCCATCTTCGGATAAACTCTTCATGGATCATGGGCGTCTGTTGTATGCTTTGTTTCTCCCCCATCAATGTTCCTTGAAAACTCGACGGTTCTCCTCTGGTCAGGCTATTATTTTTTTTCCGGCGCAGGAGTTTATCTGGTTCCGATGCTTCAGTCTCACAGGCGGCGACGGCAACCCTTTTCCTCTCTTTTTTCCTCACGTTTTTTTGGGGCGGTTTCCCGCTGAAGCTGGTAGATTCCCGCCCCTTTTTATGAATAAAACCAGTTGGCCATGGCCTTAGATGTTCACCGCGATGCGGTGCCGCAGGTGTCTTCAAGCTCCCTTCTCCAAATCTGCCGGGAGCTGGAGGAGATGACCTTGCTGGCGCGACACCCAACACAAAACGCCATGAAGCTGACACACGGGTGTCAAAACCCGCAAGGGTAACGCGATTTAGCAGGAACACATGAGATAGATAGTACCAACCATGGGTAACATGGAATTCCATCGAAACTATTGGGGACCACTTGATGGCTTACCTATCAATGAGGATATGAATCAACAGCCTGTTTTTCTCATTACAACCTATGAGCTGGGAATCGCTCTCACTCGAGCCAACGGGGTATGGTTTTTTAGTGACTCACACGTCAAGAACCTGTGCTTGCAAATGATGTTGGGGCAACTCTTTGGCTGCGTATCATGTGGATGGTTCTTTATGCGCATACGAGTAGTAACATGTCGAGATTATCATGATCTATGAACCTGAAAACCCATTATCCGCCGGGACCCAGCGTTTGGCGAACTGGTTTGCATCTGATTTTTGATTGGGTTCTGAGGGGAACTATTTTCCACCCGGTTGGGGGACCTGTATGAGAACCATAAATTTGATGGGCGCAGGATGCTCCATATACTTGGATGGTCATTCTACGAGTCTTAGCTGGTTAGTAAGTAGGGTTGTAGCGCATGTATAAGTGGAACAACCGCAGCAAAGTCCAGTTTAGAAACGAACCTACCATGGTTATCAATCTATGATGGTGGGACTGCAGCCACAGGTAGATGCGGCCACACCACATCTGGACGTGGAGCAAGCTCACCTGAGTTTTCGTCGACTACCTGATAGTGATTCCGACTGCTCCATGCCCAGTTTGCGACGTGTGGTTCAGCCCACGGATGCTTGGGCATGATACGGATGCGATGCATGTGCGAATCCAAGAATTGGGATAGCGACAAAATTGGGGATGTCGCATGTTACTGTGGATGGACGAAATCCTGCACCACCTCAGAGACCATGGTTTCGGATGATTCCCCTGTAAATACCAACAAAGAATGGTTTCAACCATGGTTTCCAAGTGGTGCGAAAAGGATTTCGTCCCGCCACCGTCTCACTTCTCTCAGGGGTCAAGGGTCAATTCACCCAATCCAGGCGGATGGAAATTTCCAACTTTCAGTGGCCAGGATTGGGGGACCATCCACCTGGAGCTCCTGCGTTTTGCCGCGGAAGGGCGAGGAAGAGAAGTACTGACGAAGCTGCTGGGCTCAAAGAGACATGATCAAACTGGTGGTGTAAGTAACGTGTGTGCTTTTTACATGTTGGGTGAAAATTACACCGGGAATTGGACCGCAGGTGTTGGTCCGTGTTTCTACTTACTACGGTTCCAGTTGGGGTACCTATTGTTGACCCACAGCCATACAAGAGAAAACGAGAGAGAGACAGAGAGTATTCCTCGAGGAAAGCATCTTAAAAAGGCACAAATCCTTCCGAGAACAATCTGAAAATCCCCCAGTTGAATGCAAATGAAGCCGTCTGAAACCAACTGAAATGTCAGCTGGGCCTGGATTCAAGATTCTGGGCCTGGATTCAAGATTTCCCGGAAAGCCCTAGAGTCTTGAATCTTGAATCCGGGCCCCGAATAAAACCGATTGAAACCTGCTGAAATTGCATTCGGGACGAAAGGTTGAAGCTTGCAGATTGTCTTTGGAAATACGCCTTGTTTGTGCTGCTTTCCCTAAAGCCCTCAAAAAGGAGCTCTGCCAAAAGTGAGTTCTGCAACAAATAGTGAGTTCTGCAAAAAGTGTCCTAGTTAAAGAAAACACCTTGGTTCTAGGCCTAGATTGGTCCTAGTCTTCTGAAATGATTAGATATTTTCAAGGAAGCTTTGCTTCAAATTCAATTACGTGAGAGTTAGACTTAAATCACCTAGTCCTAGTGTAGCCCAGGTCCTTTTTTGAGAGATCCTTGGTTGCAGTCCTAGTTTAGTCCTTGTCTACTCAAATACTCAGAAACTACACAGGACGTTATAGAGGGAGCTCTACTTGTCATTTAATTGCCATGATAGTCAGAATTCCAGTCCCAGTTTGGTCCGTTTGGTCCTAGCTGTCATGGTGAACATCTAAGGCTGTGTCCCAAGTCGGGGGCTGACCAAATCATCTAAGTTAGCTTGTCATGGACCCGTAGGGCGGGGGGGGGGCTATCCCTGGATAAGCCTAGGATAAGCGCTTAAGAGATAGCCCCCCCTCCCCATAGCTTTGTGGCTCGCAATGGCGCTCAGGTTGAGACTACAAGATGATTGCAGGAGATGCGTGGAAGCTCGGAGCGTCCAGGTCTCCGCGTTCCGCCCTCCAAGCGAATCGCCCGACTCCAAGTGCAGCAAGCTGTGCCTGCAGCTGGAGAACTTTAAAGCGGTGCGCCCTTCGCACAAACAAAGGCCTCTTGGCCAAATGGCTGTGGGTCAAAGCCGTTTTGGATACCATTTTGGGGTAGGTGCACCACCCCATGTTAGTTGATTTGAGTGGGGATTGCGATGTTCACTGGGGGTACGGGCTTTTGACCCATGGCCAAATACTGGGTGCTTGATTCTTTCGTCACCCATTGAAGGGTCTAGTTTGATACAATATCCATTACAACAGAGTCTTGAGCCTGCATTTCCTGCAACCTGAGGTCTGAGTTGCAGGGCGTTTACGAGTGCGAGTCTGAAGACTCTTTCGACAGTTGACACAGTCAACAGTCTCTCTATTTTCAGCTGATTTTCGAAGTCTTTTGCAGCAAGATTGCAAAGATTGCAAGTCTGTCTGTGGATTCAGGGTTGGATCTCATTCCCCTATGTCATGACTGGGAGACAGGTGATCCCATCCTGCAACTGTTCAATCGTTGCAGCTTTTTGCCGTGGGCTGAAGCCATGTATCGTGGTGTCTTGCTCATGGTGAGAAAGCACAGCTTTTTCCGCAAGAGCTAAACGGATCTCGAGATGCCGGTGCAGTTCTGTTCGCAATGGTGCTGCGGGTATCCCAACCCCACTATTTCCTTGTCTAGGGTTCACATTCCAACTGGTGACTGACCCATGGGATGATTGCTGAATCAAGCATCTTTGTTCCACGGTAGGATCCGATGGTTTTGGGGCCACTTCACGAATCATGGATATTTCGCCAAGCAAACTACCCAAAATTGGGGGTTGCACCCAAACTTAAATAAGAACAAAGCAGAGTTCTGACAAATTGGAATGCTTGATAGCTCATGTCAACATCCCAGCACCCAAAGTCCTGGGGGCATCATTTTAAAAACTTCCAGTGGCCCAGTGTCTTCCGCGCGAAAACGAACCTGCCCTAGCCTGACAAAACGACTGGTCTTCATGACTTTCCCATTAGAAGGTGTTGGTTTTCCGTTGCCACGGTTCGCAACTTGTTAGTCTTCTTCTTCTGCTCCTTCTTCTTCTTCTTCTTCTTTTGCTTGTTCTTCCTCGTCTTCTCGTACCCGGTTTGCAAAATGGAATCGCGGAAGTACATGTTTGGCAATAAATGTACATTGATACCTTGGAACTATACAGATGTGTGTATATATATATATATATATATATGTATTGCATACATGTATATCCATATACCTTTTTTATGTTCACTATATAGATACAGGATTTACAGATAGGATGTTGTGGCAATGTTTCCTGAACAGTCGAACAGTGCGACCATGTTGTCTTACGGTAAAGGTGATGCAATGACTGTTCAAGATGCTACACGTGTCCTAAATCGCTTAAACGTACTTCGATTGCGAAAGTTTGTTTAAAATGAGAGCACGTTGCGTTGTGGCGACATTCTCATGTTTGAAGCATATCTATTTGACGTGTCAATAGCAAGTGTTACACATAACTATGTCGATGTTTAGACGTTGTTTTGCATGATAGCTGCAAAATACTTTGTTCCCCAGGTTGCTGAAAGCTACAGGGGTTCAAACTTCAAGTAAAGAAGGGCGTGTGGACAAAAGACACATGGGACTTGCACCATCCCAGATCCACTACCCATCTTCCACTTATCTTTATTTGTGCCCCATCAGCTCCCATTTCAAATGCCCCTCCAAAGTAATGTTGGACCTGCTTCAACCGGACCCTTCCCTGAACCGTGCCACCTCGGTTCTTGTCGGATTGGGACTTGTCAGTACGTACTGTGTTGCCAATACTGAAGTTGGCATTGCCACGACTCACAATAAGAGTGTTTTGACTTAGTGTTGTACATTTAGTGTTGCTAAAGCGTGCCACGGAATTTGCAAGCATTGGTTACATTTGTCTGATAGACATGATAGTTTTTACGATATTAGATATGTATACAGTATGTACCCCCCCCCCAGACTCGTTCTCAAAGGCTTTGCTAGAACCACGTATTGCCCCGCAAAGGGGCAGACGTGTCCAATAATTCTTCGATGGAGGATGGTCTCAAGTGAGGTGCTTCAGGGCATCAAAGGTCACTTGAGCCGATCCTCACTCGTGGCAAGATGCAGGTGTCCCTTTTTCTTCCGCGCGGAAGCCGCTTCGCGAATGAAACGGGCGCCGCAGGAAAAGGGATGGGTTTGGCGCATCGATTTGTTCGCCGAGGTGAGAAGGGGATGGGCACTGTGGTGCAACCTTCGCCTGGTGAATTAATTTTAGGTTTTAGGGTTTAGGGTTTGGGGGTAACTTTTGGGAAGGCCGATTTTTACTAGTGTCACATTGGTTATTCCCACAAAATTGGGCGGTTGGTTCCCTTTTCGAGTCCCTTGATATCTTGCCAAAAGAAGGGGTTCCCTATGTTGAGATATTTCCATTAAACGGGAATTCGGCTTTGGGAAGCTCGGCTTGCTCTAAGCGCCCGAGTCGCTTCGTTGCAACCGGAAAGCCTGAGATGGGCAGAGGAGGCCATGAGCCTCGCAGTATCCTTCACGCCACACTATGCCACACTCAGTTGTCCAAAGCCGACCTTTTGACCTTTTGAGGTTTCCCAAAGTTGGACCATTTTTAGTCATGGCCCCACAAGGTGAACCTTTTGTTTCTGGGTCCGATGGGCAACTGAGCATGACGTTGTTCTTTGTCATGTTGATGTTGAGAACATGGTTGCACTGCTTCGTTGGTATTGGACCGTTTTTTACATGCAAGCCTGACATGGCCATGAATTGATAGGGCCAACTGATTCTAACCTTACTGGAGGGACCGAGTGGACTTTGGCCAATCCACTTGCAGCCGCGTTCAAGCGTTGAGCCCTGCGGCATGGGGCTCTGTGCTTCAACCCACTGGTTGATTCCAGGGACTGAAGAGGACCGTTTCAGCAGTTTGCTTGCTTGTTGGTTGGTTTTGTTGTTTGCTTTTGTTGGTTGGTTCTGTTGGTTTTGTTGGTTTGGTTGGTTTTGTTGGTTGGTTTTGTTGGTATTGTTGGTTTCGTTGGTTTTGTTGGTTTTGTTGGTTGGTTCGTTCGTGTCTTCGCGTTTTCGCTGCGCCAGCCCTTCGCCCGAGGCTGGCGACGGTGTCCCCCAGCGCTTTGGCGACCTGCTGCAAGAGCCACCCCCGGCCTTGGCACTACGCGAGGCCTCGGTCGATGTGGGTCCCTTCGATCGGCGTGGACCCTTGACACAATTGGGTGGAGTAGGAGCGTAGCCGTAGGTCTATGGGGTGATCCAATTTCGGAGGGCTGTGGAGATTCAAGGTGGTTTGTTATTGCACTGCGTCCACAACGAAACCCAAAAGAGGAGTGGCTTCTTTTGCTTCCTAGACAGCCTGTTCGTCACCGCGAGGTAGGCCCAGGTAGGGGTTGTGTGTTTTCCCGAATCGGAATTGGAATCTGGTTAAGACATTTGGACGGTTCAAGCTCAGCGATTCGAGCGGAAGGCTTTGGGATTCCTTCAAGTTGTATTTGGCCTATGGATCAGTTTCGTTGAACATGGATAAACTGGAGGGTCAGTGTCCCATGATTTGCCAGGAGCCGACTTCTATGTTGCCCATATGTTTCCCGAAAGGACACCGGTGCCCGCTTTTGGGTGGCTCAGCACGGACCGCCAAAAGAGAAACCAACGTGAATTGGAAACCAACGTGAATTGCCCCACATTTTGGGAGAGACTTCCCCAATATTCCCAATGTTTGTTGGGGTATGGTGTGTGGATTTGTTTTTACATGTTCTGTTGGTGTGCCTCTGGGCCTCGGTCCCTTCAAGAGGCAACTTTGTTTTCCAGGTACCCTCCCACGAATGCTAGGCTGGCAGCCCTAGTTGTGAATGTCGAAGCGGAAGTATGTTTGTCAACTTTTCTGGACACCCATGTTGGAGGGTAGCAATGAAGACAGTTGTCGCGTGCGCTCGAAACGGCAGAAGCATTCCGCCTCGGCAGGAAGTACGGCATAAAGTTCGTGAAAGCTCTGCAGGGCTTGCATACCTCACACCTCAGCTCCTTGGCACGGAGACAAAAGAGGGCTGAACCAAAACAAGCAAAGTATTCTAACTAGGCTCATTTGCTTTCTTCCATGTGCTTAAGAATGTATTGATGTTCTTGGTTGGTTTTAAAGGGAATATACTCTATCACTACAGAAAGTATTGTTTTGTTGTTTAAAGCGGGATTAAGCAAACGGAAGTTTTAAACAAAGATCAATCGTGTGCTTGGAACAGCCATTAGGCCCTCCTCTCTCCCATTCTTTTCCTTTTGATTCGCCTTTAAACGCGGCCAAAATGCTGACCTCCAGCCACAATGCTGACCTCCCGTAGCCCAGGCGACTTGGATGCGGTGGATCAGGAGGATTTGCTCCTCATGGCAGCGGAGCCGCTTGGCGCCAGCCAGCCGGCGGTTTTTGCTTTTTTTGTGTTTTTTTTTGGGGGGGGGTGGTCAAAAACAAGAGTCCCTTTCGGGCCAGTTTTGACCATGGCAACTTTTCCGATCTAGTGGGATAGATCATGTTTTTGTTTGATATTTGTGTAAAAGGACCTTTTGGTCAACCCCCGAACCCCCGTTTGTTTGCCGGTTGCTTGGAACATCGAAGGATCAGTCAAGGCAGCTTCAAGGCTTAAGGGGGTGTCCAGCTTGCGCAATGTTTGTGCGGCAAATAAATTGACCCTGGCAACGCCTCCATTTAGCATGAACAGATTCTTTGCAAGAGTCGGGAATCCCTTCGGACAGTTTCAAGGAAAGCCATCAGAAGCCGGATGATTGAACCAATAGAGAGGCACATCGGACTAGAGGATGCAACCAACGCAGTAGCAAATGATCAACCTTTGGAGCTGGAAAAGCATCATTCGGTCTTTAGAGTAGCTGCGTAGAGCGGTCTTTCAACGAGACCAATGTTGGAAGCGGCTGTCTATGTGTCCTTGGCTTTGTTTGCTTTGTTCGACGTCCCACATTTGTGTTCAGAGCATTTATTTGGTGGTTGCCTTGCATATTAGGAAGCTTATCACAAAACATAGGGGGTAGCCGTTTTGTGCATATTCCTATTATTGAGCGAGCTTCATTCTTTTCAATGCCAAGTGTCACCTCGTGTCAAACCATCAAAGCATGGGTTCTCAGTGAGCGAGTCGGAACTGTTGGCATCAACCAGTGGCAGACAATGGTCACTCAGTCCCAAACGGATGGCTTCGGTTTTGTTCCCCCAGGCACTTTGGACATGAGTCGACATGAGTATTAATTACTGTAGATGTTTGCAGAATGTGCTGTAGCCGCAATCCTGCAGTGAGTTCACGTTGACACGACTTTGATATGTGCGCACCTTCGCCTCGTGCGTTCCCCATATCGCAAGGGCCAAGAAGGAGTGCCCTTCATTTCTCTCCCATCAAGCTGGGCTCGGTTGGAAGACTCTTCCAACTTGGTTGCAAAAGGAATTGGCTCCAACAGGGTGTTTGGCAATCAACACTATTTTATTTGGCAACCAACTCGAATTCAATTGATATTGGCGAAAGGCAGTCTTTTTTGAGGGTATTTGTTTTTGCGGTTTTACAGGGAAACCAATAGGAAAGCCACCCTATTTTGGGAGGTCCGCTAAAAAAGACACCCAAATGAGTTCCCCTTTGCAGGTTGT